ATTTGCTTTTCTGTTTTTTAACATTTTAATGAGCTTTTGTTTTAGTGTTTCTGGTTTCTGGGCTGAATGATTCAGTCAAAACTTCACTGTGTCTTTTGAAAGCCTCAAATATTGTACTTTTATAATGTCTAACGCTCAAATAAACTGAATGTTAAATCATTTTCATGCACTCCTTTTTGCTGTTTTTAAAAATGTATTAACTCGCAACATCACTAAATCATACTGAACTGAATATTTACTTTTGTGAATTATATCCTGTCGGATACAGAAGCATATTCACATTTTAGCAGCTGCTAATGCTGTTTTAATGTGACCACAGTGACAACTATCATGCTGTCATTTGTTGCAAAACACAAATTATCTCACTCTAAATACACCAGGCTCTTCAGAATGTCCAATCTCACAAACAGTCAAGATTATTAAATTTCATACTTATGAGTTACAGCAAGCAAACAGTCATCTTGTGAAAATTATTCTACTATGTTCTCTTCCTGTTCAATCATCACCTAAATAACTATCAGGGTGTGCTAACTGTTTCACAAAGTAATATAACAGGAACTTGTAAACAACTTAACTGCCCTAAGTGGTTTTCCTGAAAAATCCTGATCTTCAGCAGCATCATTGTGCTATGAGCAAAAATGTTCATTTTTCCATTTCCTTTGTTTATGATTTAATGGGAGCAAATATTAGATGGTTAATAAAATATGCACACAATAACCTGTTTAGCATCTTGAATTCGCCAGCTATTTTATATTATACTTGAGCAAAAGTCATCCTGTGGTTTGGAGTCTTTGTTTGGGGAGGGTCATGAGGGGCAGTAAGGATATAAAGCTATTTCTGACGGATTATAAACACACTGCAAACATTTATTTACTTATACAACCTGACAGCATCCTTATAACCAGAGGAGAACCTTTAAGTTCTTTTCTATGATTCCATTTCATGGCTGCTGAGTTTAAGTGCAATAATACATACTACACAGAGGAACAGGCCTTTGTCATTTAACAAAGATAAAAGCTTAGAGTTAACACCTTCGGGGTGATAACGACTAAGCCCACGGGTGCTAAGAGGCTGACGGAAACTCAGAGAGAGAACACAATGCAGAAAGATCATCCTGTCAAGGTCTGTAATTGAAGGGTCTAGTTTTCCCAAAGGCATTAATACAGAAAGGTCAGTCATGACGACTATAAGATTGTATGCAGTGTTAACAATATCTATGTGGCCCTCATTATATGTTTTTAAACGAAGAACTACTGTATGAAAGGGAAAAATGCACTTTAATAGCACCATTTGTTTCAAATCTTACATAACTGTAATCTGAAATTTTACAGTATTCCATAACCAGTCCCTAAGTGGGAGTAAGCTGCGTTGGGTAAGAAGAAGTCATTTGGACCTTTGCCAGTGTTTTTTGTTTTTTTTTGCTCAAGTCTGTCAGTAACCACATCAGCGTAGCACCACACACATTACACACATCAAAGCTCATACAAAAATCTCAATCTAAGAAAAAGACTTCAAGCTACTGATTCTAACTACTTAGGATGAATCACTATACTTATCTAGTAGCTTATTTCAGCAAGTGGCTCAGAGTGAAGAGAACGTGTAGAAATCGTGAATAAACAGTGATGAGGTGTGGTAGTAAGTGTTTAGCTTAAGCCTCAACAGGCAAATTTTCCAAACTGTTAGACATATGTTGCAGGTTATAGGACCCATATGCACTTTTCAGAGTTAACTTCCTCCAAAAAACCCAGACTTATTCACCAGAACCAACCTAACAAACCAGCAAGAGAGAAACTGCTTTCAACAAACTGTATCTATACTAAACATACTATAGCACTGACTATAGCATAACTTACATCTGACGCTGTCTGCTTTGAATTTTGTTGCATCTAAACTGCAAGAACTGTAAAAGTTTTCAGTGGCCCTCAAAACTCAAAACATGCTTCTCAGCTCCAAACTGTATAGCTTAACAATCCAACCTGTTTAACATGCTATGGGGATTCATATGAATATGGGAATTACATATATGGTTCACTTTCCTGAGGTGACTTTCTCTAAAAAGTGAATCAGTCATCAGAACCAATTCAATAAACAAGCTGCCATCAACAAACTATCTACGCTATACAAAATACCATACATTACACCATACAGTCTTTAATATGAACTGTAGCAAGGGTGGGGAACCAAGGGCCGGACTCAGCGCAGTTAGGTGTTTTCCCTGCTCTAACACTCCAACTAAACCTGGCAATTAACTAACGAGCTGAATTGTTGAATCAGGTGTGTCTGAACACAAAAGTCACCAAATTGTGCAGAAATCCAGTCCTCCAGGACCAGAGGAGAACTACAGCATAACTATATCAACTGCTAGACAAGCTCTATAGCGAACTCTCCCAAATGTTATCAAACTATGCCAACCGACATGTTGCAGATTGTGGGAATTATAATTTATGGAGCATTTTTCTGAGGTAATGTTCTCAAAAAATAAAACCTTGCATACCAGAACCATTATGAGGGAATCTGCCCTCAATAAACTGTATCTTCAGAGAATCTGCCTTCAACAAATCCTATCTATATTATATTCTATATACATCATAGTATGTACTATAGCAGGGTTTCTCCACCACTGGGCGAGGACCACCAGTGGGCCACGAAGCACCCCTTGGTGGTCCTTGGACCTACACTGAGGGGGGCCAGTGGTCCAAATGGGCCTGTGATGGAACTTTGTCATAAAAATCAGTGAAAAAACAATTGACTTAACATGAAAAAAGAAATATACATGTTTTCAGTTAGTTAACAACATTAATACAAGTTCAGCAATAACAGTGCAGAAAAGCAGCTTTGTCAATTTTTTGTGCTCTTTGTCTTTAGAAAGACCTGACTTTTCAGTTGTCCACTCGCACCAGTATTTTGCTGATATTTCATGTTCACTGATACACATCACATATTACAAAAGTAGGCCCTCACATATCACTGCGTTGAAAATTTCCCCAAAATGACATTTTTAAGCAAAAACATTGAGTTTTGTCTTCTTGTGGGCCTTCCTGCTTTCTAGCGATAAACAGGTGGGCCTTGAGGTAGAAATGGTTGAGAACCTCTGTACTGCAGCATACCTTACATCTGCTGTTAGCTGTTGTTTATTTTGTTAACCAAGCATTTAAGCTGCAAGATTTTTAATCTTTCAGTGAGCCTTTGAAACTCAAGACTGGCTACATAGTCAAACTATTCTGACTGTTTGACATGATATGTCGTAGCACGTATTACTTTTCTGAGGTACCTTTCTCCAAAAAACAGACTCATACACCAGAACCAATCTGATTAGCTGGTGAGAGAGAAGCTGCCCACCATAAACTGCATCTATGTTGTACATTGATCAGCCATATGTTAAAACCACCTCCTTGTATCTACACTCACTGTCCATTTTATCAGCTTCACTTACCATATAGATGCACTTTGTAGTTCTACAATTACAGACTATAGTTAATCTGTTTCTCTGTATTCTTTGTGTGGCCCCCTTTTATCCTGTTCTGCAATGGTCAGGACCACCACAGAGCAGGTATTATTTGGGTGATGGACTGTTTTCAGCAATGCAGTGACACTGTTGGTGTGTTAGCGTGTGTTGTGCTGGTAGCAGTGGACCAGACACAGCAGTGCTTGTGAAGTTTTTAAACACCTCAGTATCACTGCTGGACTGAGAACAGTCCACCAACCAAAAATATCTAGCCACCAGCATCCTGTTTGCAACTTCCTGTGACCACTGATGCAGCAAAAGGTGAGTTACATTTGACTACAGGGTAGAAGTGTCTAATAAAGCAGACACAGTGTTTAAAATAATCCACTTGTACTAGCACAACGCACACAAACACACCACCACCATGTCAGTGTCACTGCAGTACTGAACTGACCCACCACCCAAATAATACCAGCTCTGTGGTGTACCTGTCCAACTGTCCATTGAAGAACAGAGTGAAAAGGGCTTAAAAAGTATACAGAGAAACAGATGGACTACAGTCTTAATTGTAGAACCACAAAGTGCACTTATAGGGTAAATGGAGCTGATAAAATGGACAGGGAGTGAAGATACAAGGATTAATGTTTTTTTTAAAAAAAAACAAGGTTTTAATGTTTTGGCTGATCTATGTACACTACACAAACTATAACATGTACTGCAGCATAACTAACAGCAGCGGTTATCTGCTATTCATTTGTTAACTAAGCATCTAAATTGCAATAACTATGTTTTAGGGTTTCTAAACATGGGGCAAGCTCAATAGCCCCAAGCTATTGAGTGCCAAATTACCTTTATGGGGCACTTTTCTAAGGTCATTTTCTGAGGTTACAGACTCATACACCATAGCCTAATAAACTAGGACGAGAGAGACTAAAATACTGTATCAATACTGAACTCGGGACAAGCTCCATAGCCCCAAGCTCAACAGCAAAATGACCTACATGGGGCACTTTTCTGAGGTAATTTTCTCCAAAAAAGCAGATTTTAAAATAGACCATACCCAATCTAATAAACTAGGATGACAGAAGCTAAGATACTGTATCTGTTCTAAACTCCAAACAAGCTTCATCGCCCCAAGCTCAACCGTCAAATGACTTCTATGGGGCACTTTTCTGAGGTAAAAAAGCAGACTCATACATCTAGGTTAATAAACTAGGAAGAGAGAAGCTACCATGAACATCCTGAATCCTGAATACACTACACATACAATATAACTAACACCAACCGTTAGCTGCTATTCATTTGTTAACTAAACACCTAAACTGCGAGCTCCCAGTGCTCCTCTGAATCTCTGAGACAAGCCTTTACTCCACATGTCCGAGCTCAACAGCCTAACTGTCCACACTGTTTGAGCTATTATGTTGTAACTTGCAGGAACGGCCCATATGGGGTCATTTTAGAGGTAACTTTCTCTAAAGAAACATCCTCGCACACCTGAATCAGCCTAAACCAGCATCCCTCAATACAAAGTCAGACTGGAACAATCCTCACTCACCGAATCGCTGGCGTTTTTCCCCAGCTCATCCTCACTGGACGCTGCAGACTCGACCACTAGTTTCTCGAAGCACGCCGAGCCCAAGGACGAGCTCTTCTGCTGCTGGGACAGAGCCAGGTGGGCTACAGTGAGCTGCGGGCTGCCTTGAGCTGAAACAGAAAGCTCGGGTTTGTTAGCCGCAGCTCCGCTAGCTCCAACCGGCCCGGTGCTGGAGCCCGGCTCGGCTATAGCAGCCAGAGAGGGCGGAGGAGAGGCGCTCAGGTTGGGCTGAGAGGACGAGATGATCCGGTCCAGCGCCTGTTTCTTTTTCCGCTTGAACATCCACAACCCTGTCTCTTTCTTACCACCACCACCACCACCACCGTCCGCGCCGCGTCTCTCCGAGCCCAGCTTGGGGCTCAGAAACGGCTTGGTCTTCTCCTGGAAATTCCTCCACATCCTCCGCTGGTAGGATGTCGCCTCTTGCCCTTTAGCGCCGCCGCCGCTGCTGCTGCTACTCTCATCCTTGGGTTTCTCCATAGTGCCCGAGCAGCAACCCGCCAGTCTGCTGCTGAAGGAGCGGAGAGGGGCACACACGCACACACACTGCGGGCTCAATATCCCAGTTCAGAGACCCTCTCAGCACCCAGGGGGAAAGACTCTTCAGTCATTAGCTGATATATATATATAAAAGGAGGCAACTGCGCGTGAGCCTGGCTGGCTACAGTACGCGCGTAATGACTGCCATCAGTGCAAGGCAAACCAAAATAAGGGTGAGGAAAAGACGGAGCGAGGCACTTACGAAACCCAGCACAGGCGCGTGCTCGACCTAATGAAATCTTAAAGAGGTTCACCGCACACCGCGGATCTGATTCTGTGGAGCCTCGCTTGTAGTAAAATCCTAATTGCTGAGCTCAGACTCGGACTTTACAGGACGCTCCGCTTACGCCTGGTGAATGGACGTGGGGCAGAAAGTGACTTCAGCAGCGGTGCGCTCCCCTTCATCTTCGCCCTCGTCCTCATCCCTATCTTCGTGCTCATCCTCGTCCTGTCGTCCACGCTGACGCGCGCCCACCCATGAGTTTTAACGACCAAAACGAGACAGAAAAGTTCAAGTGCACAATCATGTCACCGTGAGACGCCCCCTGCTGGACAGCGTGCGTCATTATCTTGTGGAAGTTCTTGATCGAATGTTGGTATTAGAAGGGGGAGAGGAGTGTGTGTGTGTGTGTGTGTGTGTGTGTGTGTGCGTGTGTGTGTGTGTAGTAGGGGAGGTTGTTTTCAAACAACGTACAAACGTGTTCATTTGTTGGTTACTGGGTTTAAGTTTAGGCTTAGGCCCCAAAAAAATGTGTAATTCATACATATCATACATATGGGACATTACCATTGTTATTATTATTATTATTATTATTATTATTATTGCCTGTACACTCTTAAAAAGATGGCTCATCAAGGGTTCTTTACTAATGGTTCTATTCAGAAACATAGAACTATTTCAGCATGCAAAGAACCATTTAAGCATAAAATGGTTCTATATAGAACTCATGGTTCCAAACAACCATTCCCTTTCCTAAAGAACCATTGAAGAGCCATATTTTGTGTAGGGGATATATAGGGAATATTGTTATTATATATACACTATTAAAAAGGTGGTTCTTTAAGGGTTCTTTAGTAAAGAAAATGGTTCTATAAAGAACCATGAACACTCAAAGAACCCTTTGTATGATTAAAGGGTTCTTTGCATTGTGAAAGTCTTCTTCAGAATGTGCTCTAGATGGTTCTATATAGATCCTTTTTGAAAAGGATTCTATATAGCACCCAGAAGGGTTCCTCTGTTGTTACGATGTCAAGCTTGTAGCAGTAGAAGAACGCTTTATTCATGCAAAAGGTTCTATGAGTGTTTATGGTTCTTTATGGAACCATTTTCTTTACTAAAGAACCCATGAAGAACCATATTTTGCCTGTAAATTTCATGATAAATGGACTAAAAGAAAAGGCCTAATGAGTCACTGGAAATAGGTCTGGTTCCATTGACTTACATTAAAAGTAAAGTATGTTTTTTCCTTCTCCTGTAAAGTTACCATTTTGGAGATATGAGGTTTTGTTCTGACAACAGCGATTGTGGGTGATATTACTATTACATATAATCAATATGAGTCATTATTATAACATATTATATAACACGTATGTGACATTATAATTACATATATTGTTGCTGTCAGGAAAAAACACATCTCTAACATGCTAACATTACAGGAGAAGGAAAAACATTTTAACTTGTAATGGAGGTTAGAGTAACAAGATGTTTTACAAGTAATTTTGGATCAAAAGAAAACAAATTTGAACACAGACAAGGGTCAAAAATACCCTTTGTATGTTAAATACATACAAAAATGTTAAATACATACATGTTAAAAAAATGACAAACAAAAAACAAATTCAAGGTTTTTGCCCAACAACGACGATATGTAATTACATATACATTATATATGTAGGACATTATTATTATATGTAGCTACTTACATATACATAATTCATACAGCAGATGGTGCATGTAGATATTTTCAAAAATATAATACATATGGGTCATATTGAAATAGATAATTACATACATACTGAACATATAGTGATTACATACAGATACTTTTATGTATGTAATACATATGGGACATACAGATAATTATATCCTGACACAACCTTTGTATGTGAGGATAAATTATGACAACACGTTTTGTTAATAGAGTAAACCAGTGGAAACCCCTCTGTCATGTCATGGGTGTGCCCACTAATAACCAAAATGTTCCTCTGGAATCAATAACTCTGAAAAACAGCAGTAGTCTAAACTGAAGGTGGTCTAGGTTATGCCCTTTGTTAATCACCAAAATGGACAAGTGGATAATTGAAGTGCTTGTAAGGGAAGGAGCAAATCAAGGGGAGCTGACTGCATCCTCTCTCTGTTTCTCTCTCTGTCTCTCCGTTCTAATAAAAAAGGTTATATTCCATAACCTGTACTCACATGTTGTTTTTTAAATACGATTATTATTGTCATCTATTGTTATCTATACAGTCATTATCTGCTTCCATGAACTGTAAAAAGTACTTAGAAAAGAACAGAAACCTTGAAGCAAACTCTAACCACATTTTTACACTCTCAGAAATAAAGGTACTAAACTGTCACTGGGGTGGTACCCTCAAGGGTTCATCTCAGTACCTTTAGCCAGGGAACATAATTGTACCATAATCCATTGAAATCATATTTTCTAAGTTGTATTAGCTCCATACAACCCGTCTCGTCTCCAGGCTTCTTATTTCATTGTTCCGATTTAAACATTAGATTATGAAAAGATACAAATATGTACTTATTTAAGGTGCAAATTGGACATCAAAAAACAATGTTGTACCTTTGAAGGTACATTTACATTGTGTGTACCTTGATGGATGAAAAATGTACCTGCACCTATTGTAATAGAAGCCAATACACAGGGGTTTCGAATGGAAAGGTTCTTTTTACTAAGTACACCAAAATGTGTCAAAATTATTATGGTAATCCACTTTATGCTACAGACACAGCAGACAGAGATCTGTTGAAAAATATCTCTACTACTTCCTCAAAATGGAATTCTCAACATGCTTAGATGTTAATTTTGTGTGTATTTACAGTACTGTGCAAAAGTCAGAGGCTACCCTTTAGTTATTTAATTTCCAGTGGAAACAGACATTATGTACAATCAATCATGTTTCAGGAGATATTTCAGAGGAGATTATATGGAAAATAATCCACTTACGTAAAGAAGGGGAATGAAAGGTAAAAAAAAAAAAAAGTGAAAAAAACTGGAGTTTCCAAAACTCAAAAAATATTAGAGGCAGAAAGGAAAATCAACCTCCCTTTCTGCCTCAGATCTGAAACAAAGTCACAGGTGTTCCTGCCTATCTTTCCACTGTGAGAAGACAACTGAACACTATGGGTCTGAAAGAATGTGTAGCTGTCAAAAAGCCATTACTGAGAAAAGAAAAGAAAAGAAAAGAAAAGAAAAGAAAAGAAAAGAAAAGAAAATGTACAAATCAAAGAAGTTTCTGGTATTGTTAGATTGGACTGCACCCTCAGAGTCCAGACCTCAATATCACTGAATGTGTCTGGGATTACTTGGATCATGAGAAGATTAGATTGATTTGGAAGCTGTTCCACTATGTGTGGGATTTACGCTAAGTGTCCACTCAATTGATCCTACAAAAGAGTCAAATCCAGGGCAATCCACTCTAACAGTACAAACACTTCTCATCATACCAGCAAGAAATAATGGATGCAGTAAAAAGAAACAAAAAAGCCCATTCAGAGAGTAAAGCATTAAATTATGTGGAAATGATGTCATTTGTAGGCACACTTAGTAAGAAACAATTCAAAAGGGAGTTGAGTTAATTTCCCTAAAGAGACTATTACCACTCCCACATGAAACTGAGGTGCGAGGTGCAAACTGTGTGTTGTGTAATATTCAGGAGTTGAAGTGAAAACGTTCTACAGGGAATAAGGTGCTGGTAGACATAAGAGCATTCATCAACACGTTAGAAATTAGTCAGCTAAGATTTCAGAGCTTAGACATTTCTCTACTCATTCACAGTGTATTAGAACATCTAGTGTTGAGTCATTAACCTGCTGGTGTCCAATAATTCAACTTTAGTATGTTTTTATACTGTTATAATGGTATTATTAACTTAATGATGTAAATTTAGGATGAAATGCCCTGAATAAACATCTGACAGTACTCATTTGAGAACTCATGCAATTGCCATGCTTTTATTCACCATTAAAATAGAATTTATTCCATTGTTTTGTTAAAATCAGTAGTGACCAAATGACTGAATTTAATGTGATACATGGTTTAAATCATTTTGAAAGAAGCTTAGAGAACATATAGACCAAAGTAGACTTAGAATTTCATACAGACATTAAATTACATTTGGAATAATCTGAATCCTTTTATCAGCCTAAAACTGAGGGTTCATTTGGAATCTTCAGATGTATTTAAAAAAAAACAAACACACACACAAAAACATATAATCAGAAAAAACTATACAGAAAACTCATTTTTAGCTCAATAACCTTTTAATTTTGATGTTGATTGTGTTTTTACATCCATATACTACATTCACGACTTGCATAGACAGCTATTTTCATAAAAAATGTAGGTGCAAGCAATCTACTTCTACTCTGTTTAACCTTCGGTTGCTCTGCCTCAGTAAACTTTATAGTGATTCTAACAACTGGACAGCAAACTTTAAAGTGTTAGCTTTCAAAAGAGACCACGATTATGGTTGTAGATCAATGGATCAAGAAAAACAGCAACTTTAATGAACATTGTCATTTTCAGGATTTGTAATTTTTGTATGAGGGGTGCTGGACGTGAGGTCAATGGAATAATCCATTGCTTATGTTGTTTCCCTCTTACTTTTAAGCCATTTGTAAGGTGATTTACTGTAAGTGTACTCTATAGTGAGCTCAAATTAAATTCAAAGTATCTGAAATGAAGGGTCCAGATGGAAACATGTCAAATATTGTCCGGTTGTCAAGTATACAGACACACCCACAAAGCACTTAGTGCAGTAGCTAAGAGATCGATCTAAACAACAGACATACAATTCACTCACCAGACGACAGAAAGCCAATCTGCAAGTGAGTACTGATGATCAGTGTCAAAATACAACTAATTTCTTAAGTATTTTCAAAGAACTTTACTGTACTGGCTGAGATGAAATCTTGTATTCAGTTTGAGTAGAGGCAAGCCTGTTGCTTTGACAGCTTTGTTCACTTTAGAAGAGTATTTGGCTCCAGATACAAAGTTTTTCTTGTGGAAAGGTCTTTATCACACAAAAGTCTGGCTTAAAGTTATAAAGCATGTGCAAGTGTAGCAGTAATACAGTCCTGAAAGATCTTTGTTATTCACAGAAAGTCCTGATGCCAAAAGGTGAAGGCCTGCCTGAGGAAAGAGCCTTACAGCATTTCCAACCTGATTCTGAACAGTAGGTCTACAGACTCTGTCTCTTTAAAGGTACATTTTGATTGTACAGCAACAGTATGGCTGCCCCGAGTCCTCGTAATAAACTATATTGAGCTAATATAGCTCAAGCAAACCTCATAGAACATGGGGGACTTTTATAAACTTCACTACTCATACATTATATGTCTAAAACTTTGTAGACACCTTCTTATCCAATATTTCTTCTAAAATCAAGGGCATTTATAAAGAGTTTGCTCATTCCAAAGGTGCTGGATGGAGTTCCATCACTCCAGAGAATGCTGTTTCACTGATCTACAACCCAGTGCTCACTGGCTTTACACATGCCCCATCCTATTGGCAGTATTTTTCTATGGAGATCCAAGCAGTGCGTGCTCAGTTGAACACCTGTGTCAGCATTGGGTGCCCCTCAGAGCAGCTGAATTCACTACTTAGAATGTTGCCACAAACCACAAGCCAGTTCAGTGATGTTCTTGCTTTTCTTTCTTTCTTTTTACAGTGAACATTCTATGGCACATTCATAACTAGCTAATTGTTTTTTCAACTATATTTTGGCTAAAGCATTTCTTTAGAGATTAGACTGATATTCTACCCTCTAGAGCCATATTTCAACATACAGTATTTGATGCAGTTATTATTATGCTTCTGTTGTACAGCTGTACACAAAAATGTTTAATAAGTTACAATTTTTTTGAGTTTCTAAGTGTAAATAAGTTAACACATCCTCCACAGGGAAAAAACTTCTATTAGACATTTTTTTTCTGCAAATCTTAGTGCATAATATCTATTTATATGCTGAGTTTAACATATTGGAAAATGATAGAAAACAAAATGGAAAATGTTCCATATGTTTTACACAGGCCACAATTCATGATGTAGATTTTTTCTTAATATGTTAAATCCAGCAAATAAACAGCATCTGTGCATTTTACTCAGAAAGTCAACGAAACATGTCATTTGACTGGGGCACCCAAACATTTGCACATGACTGTAAAGCATCAAAATGCTGCACCAAAATAAGTACACTCTTAAAAATATATGTCCCTAAATAGGTCTTGGCTTTGAAATCTGGTTCTAGGATAAACCTATAAGTCATACCTTTACATTATCCAGCACCATAAACAGCATATAAGGGGAAATACTCTCATCATGTAGAGTGCTGTTAATGAAACTTCCAAATCAAAGAGTTTGTCTTTGGCTTTAATGCTATGGCAGTGACCCGTACTTAAACAATGACCTTTGGGTTATTTGATTTTGCCATTATTGAATGAACTTGTAATCTGAAGTGATCATCAGCTTGACTCAGCACACAGAGGCAGCTAATCAATGGCTGATGCAGTTTAAGGAGGTCCTCAGGGTTTAGTCACAAATTGAACAGAATTGAACATTCTGTCTATCTAGTGTGGTTCCCAAGACCTCTGAATGTTACCTAGATAAAGGAGGTTAACTAATAAAGGAGTAGATTGCCTTAGACCATGTACATCTACATTTCCTGGTCATCTGTGTCCAGCGGTTACTCATTGTTTGTCACTATATAAGCTCTATGTCCCTATTCAGTTACTGTGAAGTCTTAGAATGTAGCCAAGCCAAGCTTTGTTTATGTCCATGTTCCTGTCCCTGATGGTTTACTGTCAGTCTGTATTTCTATATCTGTGACAGCACTGTAATGCTCCTAGCACTTGCACCTGAGTCCTTGTCTGCCCTGACCATGACCACTTACAGTCAAAAGTTTGGGTGCCCCGGGTCAAATGACGTTTTTGGTGATTTTTTTTGGTGAAGTGAAAATAATTGACACATCCTCTACAGGGAACACACTTCTGCACGTTTTAATGCACAATTATTGCTTACTTGCCGAACTGAACATTTTGGAAAAATATATAAATAACATAAAATGTGTCTTGTGCAAAAGTTATGGAACATTTTATGTTTTATTTTTTTCCAATTATACAATAAGTTTGTGTTACTTTATTTTCATTTAGATAATTAGCTAAATTAATTTGACCGGGACCGTTTAAACTTTTACCCATAACTGTATTTTGTATAACACAGAGGTATAACTCTCTTCTCTCCCAGTGATTTGTCAATTATGATTCTTTAGGCAATAATTCATCTCAGATTTCACCCTGACTCAATTTAATTATGTTGATACAATTCAGAATTGCTTACACTGAAAATACAATGAATACCCAAACGCAACTAGCCGACCTATTTACACAGTATTACACAAGAGTGGATTATCAACAAAAAACACAATGACCTTCTTTCAAATTCATATGTTGTAAAATACCCAAGAAATTTATTGTGGACAAAAAACAAGCGTACACTTTATTACTGCTAATTAACTTGAATATTTCTGAACTTACTACACAGAATCCAAGTAATCTAGACTTGTATTATTCAATGAAACCACAAACACAAAAATTTTAACCCTAACCAACACATTAAACCCTACATTATAAGAGCTGAATAAATACTTTGTCTTTTCATGAAGACCAGTGTACTCAGAGATGACCGGACAGGAGCGAACCTTGGCTACCTTACTACAGCAGGCCTTCCAGATCAAAGAGGACATGGTCAGCAGCCTACGTGCTACCCAGGGATCTGTTCTAATGGAGGCGTCTGCAAGGAAACTTCTAGAGAACCATGTTCAGACCATCACACATATCGTCAAACAGCTCAGCAAGGACATTCAGGTTAGTGGAATTTGAGTCTCTTTCTTATCAGTGACACTGAAAATGTCTAGCAGAGATCACGGTTAATATTTCTTCATCTAACATCAAGTCACAGATCATATTTCACATTTTTCATGTTATCACATTAGAAAAGCTCTACCTTTCTCCAACATAAAGGCATAAAGTGGCTGCACTGGACACAAACTTCTTCAAACTCAATTATATTCGATCAGACAGTCACCACTAGATAGTTCCTCACAGCTCCACAACATCTGAAATTTAAGACATCCCAGACTAGGACTGGAAAATGGTCCAAAGTAAAACTATGAAGTGTTTCTTTCCATCCCTCCTCATATCAGTTTAATTACACTTGCAAAATGCCACAGTTAACTGCAGCTGGCCCACTCCTCTTCACTCATTCCTCACGTGTAAGCAAAAATTTTAATGACGTCCAATAAATGGTGAGAGGTTTTCAGGGCAGACGCCAATAGTACCATTTAGCTGAGGGAATACATTATGTAGGAACAGGGCATAAAAGTGGATTAATTAAATAAATCAATGTCCGTGGGTCATATGTGGCAGAAAAAGCTTTTGTCTCCACAGAGTGATGTCAGTGGGAACTACAAAAAAACTGCTTCTGCACAGTAGATGAGAAAAGTAAACAATAACAAAGGCCTCCATCACACCAGCTTTAAAAACCCACACCTCTATCTGAGATTAAACAATAGCTCAGATCACAGTGTGGCTTTTTACACCCAGAATACTTTAATGAATCTACAATGAAAGTAATCAAATCTATTGGCATATAAACTAAAATACTAGTGTTGGTTATGAAACACTGTCTGTTCAACTGATATAAAAGCTTCTTTCTTGCAGAATAATAGAACTTTTCTCAAGTCAGCTTTTCACTAATTTAGATCACTGTTTTTGCAGATACAGTACTGTGCAGAAGTAAGTAATTTTTCAGAAGATATTTCTTAGGAGATTATATATAAGATATACGATATATAAGTAGCAATCATGCAAGCCCTGGTAGACCACCAAAACCATCACCATCAGATAAACAGTATTTAAAGCTTTCATCTTTGAGAGAGAGGAGAAAATCAAGCTCCACTCTTGCTTTAGACCTGAAAAAATCCCCAGGTGTTTCTGTCCATCCTTCCACTGTGAGAAGACAATTTAACACTATGAGCCTGAAAGAATGTGCAGCTGTCAAGAAGCTGTTAGTGTGAAAATAGACAAAAACAGACAAAAAAACAAAAATATTTGCAAACATTTTAAGAACACCCGAAGCTGCTGGTGTTTTCAGATCAATGGACTGGCCACCCCGGAATCTAGACGTTAACATCACTGAATGTGTTTGAGATTATTTGGATCGTGAGAAGCAGAAAATGCAACCAACTTCTAAGACTGAACTTTCGAGGTGTGGAATAATCCCTGCAGATTTCTTTGAAAAACTCTAAACAGAATGGAAGCTGTATAAAGGCAAAATGGGGACACACTAAATACTGAAAGTGATCTTATATTTTGCTTTTGTGGTTTCTGTGTAATTTCCTCTTAAATATATGTTTCCTGTTTTTGCTGAAAAACAAATAACTTGTACTTCATTGCAGTGTTGATTGGAAATTACATAAATCAAGAGTGGTCTTTGACGTTTTCACAGTACTCATATCTATACAATGACTGTAATATGATCACAGTATTCAATAACTGCATACATTTCCAATGATTTGTAGGAGGCCGTTAAAAAAAAAGCTGTATAACATTGAGGAAAGAGTTATACTAAAAGTATCATCTAGAATAGCTCATAATTGCAAAGTGGTGATCAAGGCAGATAACCCGAGAGGATTTTGCTATGCATAGTATGCTTCTTGTCTTCCTAAAAGCTTGAAATGTTGAAGAAAACATCTAAAATACCTTCTGGTTTCTAGTTTCAATCTACACCAGCATAGCTTAGCATGCTTCCATTAGCATAGTAATGTATACATCAAAGTGACTGTGACTTCATTCACTTGAAGAAAACATATTGAACCAGCTGTTACTCACAGGTGCTGGAGTCTCAGATTGTTCAGAGGGACGGTGTAGCATCAGGGACAAGGTTTGCAGTTCAAATGCTGGATCACAAGAACTTGACTGGCATTGGAGACCTCCGGGGCAGAGTGGCCAGGTATCGGTCACAGCATCGATGTCAAGTCATCAAGACAACATACACACACATACACGCACACACACACAGCCCCTCTGTTTGTGCTCCTTCTTATCCACCTACATCTTTGTCAGCAAAATACATGTCAAGTTTTTTTTCAGTGTGTGGAAAGTTGTGCAACTTCCACCTCAGAGCACAAGTGAGTCAGAAAGAGAAAGTTCTTTCAGTGTTCACTGCGCGGTTGTTTGTATGAGAAGTGTTACAACAATTAATCTTAATAACTTTAACTCCATCAACACAACATGCATCAATATGTGACAAGGACACTGTAACCCCAAAGTTCTTGCCAGTCATCCTTTAAAATTTATTACAATTACATACGTTGTTTCAGTTAGTGTGCCTTTAAGAAGGAAATATGTAAATAACTCTATTCTGATTCGCTGATAAACAGAAAGTACAAGTGCAGACTATGTAATAAATTATGTACCTACATAACTACTGTGCAAAAGTCAGAGAGCAACCTTCGTTTATTTAAAACATATGTAGAATAGAAGAGTACACAGAAGCATCAGCAACTATATATACACACGAGGGGATGAGTCATAAAGGTGATCTTGTCTGGGACCCTGATTGATGGCAGGCCACAATGAGGAAGAATCACTTTAACAAAACTACTGCAGGTCAGAGCGAGTGGACAGCATTAGTGACCAGGCATTGATGAGAGGTCACTCCTTCTGTGGCAAGCAGGACAAAGTAATCGATTCTGTGAATTTAATGTCCTCCATGTCTGCTTAATGCTCTTCAACTATGACTAACGATACAAAGATGGTAAATTAATTTATGATTTTGATGGCTTGAAACTGCAGTCATAGATGTTAGATTTGTCATGTGGCCTCTATGTCACTCGTGTATTACTATTGCAGAAAAATGTTTCAGCAGCTGCATCTTCTAATCTTTTTCCCACCACCAATCCTCCTGCTTTTCATAAATACATAAATTCATTAAAGGGCACATATTCTATATGCTTTGTGTAGTTTTATGAATCAAAAACATAATTCAGTTTTACATTTCCCAACCTCTCTTTCTGACTGGTATTGTATGTTGCCTTCTTTAAAAAGCAATCCCAAAGGCTGAAAAAAAATACGTCTTTTAGATGTCGATAATGCATTTGCTTTCTGACAGCCAGGAACAGTACAATGTTTAGTAGTTTTTCCCCCACAAAATTCTGCTCCAGTAACTCAACTACAGACTGTCTGCAGTGACAACACTCCTTATCACTAAATTGCTGTAGACTGTATGGGCAGTCATATATAAATGTGTTCACAGTTATGACATCACAACTATGATGAATTCTAAATGGGCTGTTTTTGCAGCTTAGTTTTCATAGATGTTTTTATTTTAGGGCTTACAAGGGAAATTTTTCTGATATGGACTCCATAACTCATATTTCATAAATCTGAGATGCTTCAACCTCTTTCACGTGTTCATGCACATCTGGTCTTATTTCATTAGGTGCGATGCTAGCATAGCTCAGCTGTCAGGTGATGTCAAAGCTAGAGAGCTGGAAATCATGAAGCTCCAAAGGGAAGTTGGTGAGATGCGGTCTGGGATTGAGCTGCGACTCCGAGACATGGATCTTAAGGTAAAACTGTTAAGAGCATATGTTAAACGCCATTACATGAATCTCAGATGTTCTGCCTTTAAAAGAAAGTTAATCCAATCTTGAGAACCAGGATGAGGAGGAACTGCTCTGTAGCTCACACGAAGTGGGTGGCAGTTGTGAAAAATATTACAAAATTCAGCTGAAGATTTGTGCCAAGTAGTCTTGTTTCATAACCCATATAGTATGACAGTTCAAATCTGTGTAGCTGACAACTGGCAAACGTACAGAGTCAAATGCAGTCAATCAGCCAAGAAATGTTTGGTGTCTGAATTTTTCATCTTTAGTTTTGCACTGGTGCTACGAGGCTATTGTCACTAAAGGTAATGAAAGCTTATATTTCACCAGTGAGCACTGTGCAAACTGCATATCTAAAGCATCCCACACACCTCAAACTGTGTCGAGCTACTAAGTAATCTCAAAAAAACTTGTATATGTGGTTTCAGATACTCTATGACATGCTATTATCTAAAAAACACTACTGTGTTGCACAGATTAAAAAAACAGTATTAGCCGCCACCCTGAAGCTTACAAAGTAACAATACACATAAAATCATACAAGAAAGTCTATTTGAGTAGATTACATGTTTTGCCAAACTATCGCTTTAAGTACCCAGCAATGCCACATTAAATCACAAGAGCCATTAAAATAAAAGATTCTTTATGTGCATCATCATTAAAAATGTTTTGACTAGGTCATACTGTCAAGTTTGGTTGGTCATGAATGACCTGATTCTAAGAATTAGCAGGATGTATTTATAAAATGCATAGAAATACTATACCTTTCAACACTTTAATACGTGTAGCAAAGGTATACAACAAGTGGGTACATTATTACTGATGCTACAAAAAAGAAAGAACTGGCAGCACTGTGCTAACAACAGTCTGTGTGGGTGTGCAGCTTAAAAGAGAATAAAGGAGAGTATTTATTTATTTATTCAAAAGTGAGACAGCTTTAATTTCATGTTCTCAGAGTTGGTTCATCTTATTATTCAGAAGTGGCTGCATCTTTTTATAGTGTATGTCTGTTTATATATACACTACAAAAACATCCAGGTAACATCCGCCCTGGTGTCAAAACTACTTGTTAATGAAAAAGGCCAATGGAAACAAATGTGACTCAGTAAAAGACATGCTACAGTAAACAGTTGAGCATAGATGAGTTATATAAGACCTTATAAGAACTTTGTGACTTCATCTTAATCTCAATCATTGACAGAAGCAGCATAGATGAAGATGTAGCTCTAAACTAAGACTGAGAGTCTGTGAGAGTGTGAAAGAAGACGACAATATATTGTTTTATTTATATATATATATTTATATATATATATATATATATATATATATGGTTAGTGGGTTAGTTAGTTATTTGGGGGGAGCACAGGATATGTATCCATAGTTTTACTCACAAACTAACAAGCTACATCAAGACTTAATTGTTAATAATCTAGTATGTTCACTGGATATATGCCAAAGAGAGTATGCACAAAACAGAAAGATTGCAGCTCAAAACGCAGCTGTGCCTGTACTGATGGGCTTCGACTCGTGCTCTTTTATGAAGGTATAAATAAACACATTTCTTGAGCATGCAAGAATCTGCTTGAATTATGTAAGCGCTTCAGCTCCAACACATACTATAGCTCACTGCTATTGGCTATAGCTCATTTCTACTGGAGTTCTTCCATTGGAAAAAAAGGCCATCTTCTCATTCTCCCTTCAAATAGCTCAGTTCCTGCAGTGGCTGCAGAGCTCAGAGCCACACAGTAAATCACTGTGATTTAAGTACATTAAGTGTGTGGGGGGGTGGTCCCAAGCTGCCATAAAGATAATTGAAAATGAAAGGGAAACAGGTCAGTGAGAGTCAGCAGCAAGTACATAAGAGAGCACTATCTCTGACCAGCACAAAAGCCATAGGCCGAGGGTGCAGGATGCATGTGAATTTCAGAAAAGTTGTGCATTTCATTAATGTGTCCTTTGTATTCTTTGCATAATTGTCCAAATGAGGATGCAATGTGACGAGTGCTACAATTTATTCATTTATTCATGCAGTATATAAACATTATTAAAGTTCCAAAACTTGCTGTTCACTGCCCAGTACATATACTGAAATGAAGCTGCAAAAACAGCTTGTTTTGAATTTGTTTTTGTGATGTCACAAAAATCTACATTTACATAGACACATGTATATGCATATGTATTTGTATATGTATATTCAGCCTATACAACACGTTAACCCATGCATATATAACTTCATAAGTTATAAGGAGGGTTTTAGCATGAACTGCTTTTTGAATGAGACTCCAGGGCAGCCAATCGGAACAGAGATCATTTACATACTCCAACCGGCCCCTTCATTAAGTAGACCTCCTTAAATGAACACTCATTGTCCATTCTATTAGCTCTACTTACCATTTAGGTGCACTTCATAGTTCTACGATTACAGACTGTAGTTCATCTGTTTCTCTGCATACATTGTTAGCCCTCTTTTACTCTGCTCTTCAGTGGTCAGGACACCAACAGGGCCACCACAGAGCAGGTATTATTTAGATGGTGGATCATCAGTACTGCAGTAACACTGATGTGATGGTGGTGTGTGTTGTGTAGTGTGTGTTGCACTGATATGTGTGGATCAGATACAGCAGTGCTGCTGGAGTTTTCAGACACTGGGTCCACTTACTGTTCACTCTATTGGACACTCCTACTTTGTTGGTCCATCTTGCAGTTGTAAAGTCAGAGACAATAGTTCATCTGTTGCTGTACAGTTTGTAGTCTTCCTCTAGCTCAGTGGTCATAGGATGCCACCTAAAGAACACTGTTCACTGAATATTTTTGTTGGTGGACTATAGTCTGGACTATTCTCAGGGGGGGCTAGTAAAATATGCAGAGAAATAGATGGACTATAGTCTGTAATTGTAGGACTACAGAACTGCACCTATATGGTAAATGGACCTGATAAAATAGATAAAGCTTGTAGATAAAATGAGTTGTACTTGATGCATCAGCTGGCCAACGTATATCAGTAATAAAAACAGTCTGTTTCTAAAGCTGCGTTTACATGTTGATGGTAGACAGATGCTGGAAAAGCAGATATTTAATTGTTTTTATTGGAGCAGCGATGGAAATTTCTGTCACCATCAGCGACAGTGCTGCAGTAAATGGAATGTTCCATCAAGAGTCAGTTTTCTCAACTTTTGCCACTGAGTGCAGCAGTGGAATAAAGTGGATGTTGATTTGTCTGTAAACACAAGAGCTGAATGTTCACAGTTGTTCAACTTCTGAACTACAACGAATACACAATATTGAAAGCATTGGTGTGTGTTCAAAACAATTTTAGGGTAAAATAATGGCTAACACCACTGACCCAAATGAGTGTTTTTGTTACTAAAAGCCACATAAATGTGTATCACATGTAGAATCAGGAAAAAAAGAAAATACAATAAAAAAAAAAATGCAGAATGTCCCATTTCAGAGCTGCAGCCATCTTACCAGTAGTACAATGTGTCTTCTGTTAGATTTCACAGTCACTTGGAAGGTTGGAGGCTTCACAGTCAGAGCAGACTGCATCCCAGAAGAATACTACAGCAAACCTACAAAGGGACATCCAACAACTTGAAACCAAGTAAGGTCATCTACAACTAGAATTTTGTAAAGAAACTAGTCTACATCATCAATATTAAGTGATGTCATGAACATCCAAGATGCAAGCTTGCAACTCAAACTGAATGGAACGTAGTATTTCATATTGCATCACTTTTAATGAGATACAAACACTGAAAGCAATAAGTAATCAAAAAAGTCAGATACACAATTTCCCCTTCCTACAAATGTAGTTTGGCACTGTATGACATACTGTTATCTTTAAATATGTACAAAAGTTCAAACTAAGTTCAGGCTTTAAAATGGGTACTAGGATACTATTGTTTTCAGCTATGTACAAGGATAAAATAATGGTTCTTCAAGGGTTCTTTAGTAGAGAAAATGGTTCTATATAGAACCATGAACACTCTTTGCATGATTAAAGGGTTCTTCAGAATGTGTTGTAGATAATTCTATATAGAACCTTTTTGAAAAGGGTTCCATTTAGCACCAAAAAGTGTTCTTCTATTGTTACATTGTTAAGCTTGTAACAATAAAAGAACCAATTTTGGTGCTATATAGAACCCTTTTCAAACAAGATTCTATGTAGAACCATCTACAGAACATTCTCCATCAATCTGAAGAACCCTTTCACAATGCAAAGAACCCTCTAGTCAATGGTTCCTTGAGTGTTCATGGTTCTATATAGAAACATTTTCATTACTAAAAGAACCCTGAAGAACCATTTTTAAGTGTATACTTTGGTACATTTTACATGTAGCAGTATGTATGTAAACTGTATTCATAGATATAATACAATGTCAGAAACTACATAAGCAGCAAATTAGCCTCATTGCTACCGTGCAAAAGTAAAGAGGCTCACTTCAAACACTTAACTTGTCTTGGCCATTCAACTACAATTAGCGTAATGAGAAAATTGTGTAAATTTTGCCAACCTATCTCTCTTAAGCACATAAACTGGGCCTTATTGGCGGTCTGAGCATCTGCTGTAGCAATTCTTTCCCAGAGGTTTGACTGTGGGCCAACTCAGTCGAGTCTGTCTGTCAGGAACATTTGCTTCAGTGGGAACCAAGAACATGAAGGGCTTATGTGGCTCTGTTTTGGTACAAATGGGTCCCATGGGAGATGTATGACTTATCATATATGGCTGTAAATGCCGTCTGTGCCGGCCTGTGTGCAGCAAGCTGAGCCGCGTGGCAAAGGAAACCGAACTTTGGATCAGTGACTCTTGACTTTGCCCAGTGCCTGCCACCCATATGGCTGTTCTTCTCCCACAGAGAGAGTCTTAACTGTAATTCACATCACAGCAGCCAAGTTCAGACGAGAATGGAGTTTTAGCGAGAAAAAAAAAAGAGGAAAAAAAAACAATTTGCAGACTGTGTTAGCACGGCTGCACAAGAAAAGTGGCTCTGGAGAGTTTATTGTAATTTTCAAACAAGTCATATGCACTGAATGGGAAAACAAACAGATCAAGGGAAAATGGTGCTTTCGAGAAAGACACATAACTCTTACACTAATGCAAACATTGCCAAAGATGACCTTAGAGTGAAGCATTTTATAATATTGCCGATGCTTATTTTAGTCTCTTTTATTGGGCTATGTACTGACTTATGACCCGTGGAAACCATTTAATATTAATGTCAATGTGTAGTCCTATTAACAATGATTGTAACATATAATAAAGGTAATGTAAATGTGAGTTATCCTGTGCCAGCTACACAGGGCATCAAGTGGGTTCACCCTTAGCATTGTAGGTGGATTCTAGGGAGCTGGACCACCCTGGATGATCATGTGTACAAATTCCTTATACCCTTATTGACCACAGGTTTATGACTTAAATATAGCTTAAAGCTAATTTCATACCAGTTTTGATCAACAAGCCTATAAAAGCACTTGAAATATTCACCCAGCCAAGCAGTGTACAGTATTCAGCCAGCTAATCATCTTGCAGGATTCAAATAGCCAATTACAGTACAGTATTCAGACAGCCAAACGGATTCCAGCTGGGTGAGACTCCACAGTGTTTAGCTAGCTAGTCTGATCGCAGGACTCAGCAAGCCAATCAGACTGCAAGGTTTAACAACCAGCCAATCAGAGTACAGTATTCTGCCAGTCAATGAGATTAAAAGATTAAACTATCCACACCAACAGGCCAATCAGATCGAAGGATTTAACTAGCCAATCAGGCAGCAAGGTTCAACTAGCCAATCAGAGCACAGGTTCAGCAGGCTAATCAGACTGCAAGATTTAACTACACAATCAAATTGCAAGATTAGACTAACCGTAGACCAACCAGATTACATTAGCCATTCATAGCACAGCACACCAGTAAGCCAATTCATGCACATGTTCAGCTGTGTTTAAGATGCCGATATTATGCATACCAGGGACTCACTTGGTCATTCAAGCAAAAGTACATGAACGAGGCATTACTGACAAATGTTCATGGAAGCATTTTGTACTTCAACATAAAGGTAATGCACCTGTGAGATGTTTTGAACTGACCGTGCTGGTTGTCCAATGGGCTTAGCTATAGTATATCAGTGTAAATGCAATTTAACTGAGTTATCCTATGCCGGCTGTGCAGAACATCCAGTGATCTGAAGGAGCTGGAGGAGGAATCAGCCAGGCTCAGGAGGTGGACAGAGCAGCAGCTGAGCAGCACAGCCCAAACACACACAGAGGACAGCCACCAGCTGCGCGCACTGCTACAGGACAGAGTGGTAAACAGTCTGCGTGTGACTTTGTTCATGTTCAGGATCAGTGTTAAAATGCCTGATTGAACTGAATATGATAAACATGCATTTTAGCTTATGTTTGACAGCATGAGTCACAGTTAAGCAATATTGAGGCAGCCTCTCACAGAAGAAGATGCATTCAAGCACATGACTACACTCAAGTTCATGAATTATCAAACCCATAACATAGGCTTATGTAACACTGTTGTATGACCCTTGCGTATTTGTGTTTGTACAGGAGGACATGGAGGTGAAGCTGAAAGCTCATGTGGATCTCCTCTCTGCTCACGTGGAGCGCTTGGAGAAGCAGCTGGAGAAAGAGCATTCTGCAGATCGGGTCAAACGATCAGAGAGCAAACTTAGCAGCAGGATCGACAATCTGGAGAAGAGCTTCCGAGATGAACTGGAGCAGATGAGGAGAGAGTATCAGTCAGGTGAGTGGACCAGTCAACTACATTTTAAAGATTTAAGACTATGGTTTGGGAAAATATGAAAACAAAATCAAAATTCTTCACAGACGGTATAGATATGAAAATTAATGAAAGACATTAAGAAAACATACAACTCATTTGGACATGCAAGCAAGTGCAACAGAACATAATAGATCTTAGATCATTTGGTTTAAAAGACAGTTTGTTGCACAGCTTGCCAGTAGTGGCCTCTCAAACCACTGACTTCAAAAAACTTGAAATATGACTCATTGTTTTATTTTCACTTGATTTACGAGATGGTGCCTTAACCAGGCACACAAAGAACAGTTATCTAAAGACCGGATTAAATTTTGTGGTGATCACAGTGATCAATCACTGGAAAAATTCTTTTTAGCCTAGACTTATTCTGGGTCTGGAAAACTGGCTCCTTGTCAACAGATAAGTATCTGATTTCTTTGGCAGTACTATAGCTTACTGCATCATTTACTCCTGCAAGTCTGGTTATATTGCCTTGTGTGCACTCTAATTAAACGTTCTATGTGGTTTGTGTGTTTGCTAATAGTGGTCCATTTCATGGAAAACTGAATTTCCATCACAGTTTGAAATAAAGTAAGTTGACATGTTAAAATTGTTTAAAATAAGTGGAAAAAAACACACATTTACTTCCAACTCCATACAATCTGTATATGGAAACCACGTTGCAAACAACCAGTTCTGAATTCAGTGTTTTAGTGATTTCACAAGAACTAACTCATTCACATATCTGGCTACTCAGCCTGTGGCAGGCTAGCTCTGCCATTCACAAAAGTTATACAGTGTGTTTCAGTCCAGACTGCACAATACAGGACAGCCAATTAGAACAGAGGTAATGTTCCTATTGTTGCTCTTCATGACTAAAACTTGCATCTCCATTTTTTTTTTTTACAGAATTTGAGTACAGCTGCCATTTTATGATGAATAGAGCAATAGAAACACTTTAAAAATGCGTAATGAAATCCTGTTACTGTTAACTTCCATTTAAAGTTAATAAGGTGTTTTCAGTCTCCTGTAAAGTTAACATTTTGGAAATATGCTACTAGTGTGTTAATATTTTTTTAATGTTGCGGAAGTGATCATATATCAGCCTTAATTTAATTTTAATGGACAGAGATTGGAAAATGGCCATGCAAAAATAAAACATGACATTTTTTTGTAGATAAAGCCAATTTAATTTCAAGCATAGACAATATGTCCAAAAGTATCTACACAGCCCTTCTAATTTGTGAATTCAGATACTTTAAGGTGTTCAATTGCACACACACACAGCATTGTCAATAAAATACGGAATGCTCTGGAGTAGCCACATATGACTTTAAGGTCACTAAGGGCAGTGTTTGTGATCTAGAACTCATCATCCAACATCAGAAACTGACCTCACTAATACTCCTATGGCTGAATGCAATCCTCACAAATCCTCCTGTTCCAACATCTAATGTAGTCTTCCCAGAAGAGTAGCTGTCACTGCAGCAAAGCCATGACAAATACTATTAATACCCTTGATTTCAGAAGAAACATTGGATGAGCAGGTGTCTACACACTTTTGGACATATATGCCAAAGCCAATTTCCACCTCATTTCCCCCAAAGTGCTAGCCTTCCCCAGACAGACTCCTAGCCCTTGACACAAAATCACCAGGTCACCTCAGTAAATACAATCGGTGACAGCAAAGCTTGACAAATCAGTATTCAGCTTATACCGCATGACACAAGCTAAAGGTTTTCAGTCAACCTCTCACTTTCTGCTCTGAAGCAACCTGAGGGAGGCCAATGCATTATAGATGAGACTCCAAACACACAACACTCACTGTCACAGAAGAAGGCCTACAAGTGTTTGTAGACGGTCCTCAAAGTTTTCTGTATTTGTCTGTGAACTCGTGATTGACAGGGTTCCAGTCGGCCCTGGATGCCATCGCTTCCTTGAGGCACATTGGTGATGCCAAGGCCAAACTAGACAAAGGAGAACTGAAGAAAGACATCAGACAGATTCGGAGAAAAATGGCAGCACTGCCAGATGCCTGAGCTATAAGGAATCTAAAGATGGTAATGGAGGATATGAAGAGCAGAGCCTTTTTATACCAGCATTGCCACATACTGATTATGTTCAGGCAGAATAATTGCATCAAAGAAAGAAATCCATAAGAACAGTGTCATCACTGACGTTGTGACCCATGATGTAATTGGAGTTAGACAGTATCAGTACAAAGTAATTAAAGAAGGTCCTCACTTCGTGCCCAATTGGAATGAGTTAGTGTCCATGAGGTCAAGCAGAGGATGTTCTTTCAGGCCCAATCTCGGAGGTCAATCAAAGAAGAGGACAGTTACCTGTGCCAACCAGGGTATACAGCTCCAGCTAATGCATTTACTTTATTACTTTACAGTCAGGATAATAGAATAATGCACATAAACTTCTGTTAGTTATGGTGGTAAAGTTACTAAAAAAAAGTTTCCTACTGGGCTGCAAGCAGTGCCAGAGTAAACATGCAAATTATCCCAGTGCCAGTTTTCATGCATTTGCTCACATGGTTTATTTGACAAAAAGCATACAGCCCACTGCAATTTGTTCAACAGAATTAACTCTGATAGCCCACCTACTAGAAGTTAGAAGTTAGAAGTTCTCTTAATTTCACAAAGATTTGACAATATTTTTCTGTCTATCCATTAAGCACTTGCGAAAAGACAAGAGATGACAAATGTGTTGGCATTCAGAGGTAAAGCGCATGGATTCTTGACTGGATCCAAGATGAGATCCATTTGCTGCTGGACAAGGAGAAACTTCCTTCATATTTTATTTGGCCAGGGTGCTCTTTTCCTTAATTGGCAGCAGATATATAATAAAAGAACAACAAACTTTTTTGCATTGGCAAAGGCTGCCTCAATTAAAACAGGCACTCTTACTGAACTGACTTCTCATGCAGTATCACGAGCAGCCCTCCTCCAGTGCTGTGCCAATATCACAAAGTGCTTCAGGATTGCCTTATAGCTGTTACTGCCTGATGTCAGCTCTGTTCATTTCAGTTTTTATTGCAGAATATCAGGAACGAAACAGGCTGGCCCCTTTGGCTCTCATAACTGTGAAGGTCAGATGAGTGTGAGATGAAAGAAGGCACTGTCCCAAATTAAACTGCAAAGCCATCCAATATAAATACATGGCCTTTTACCTGTACAAAAAAATGCTGATTCTGATTAATTAACAGATCACATGATCATCTTTTCCACTCATACATGCTTATCACAGTTCAATAAAAGTGCTTCTTGAAGACCGAGGAAGGGTGACTAAATCCATAAACATGCTTGACTGGATTGTAAGAAGGTAAGACATAATGCAGAAGAGGCAGAACTGAGAATGTAGTTGCTGTATTGGCTCTTGCATGGCAGGTTGGCTTTGGTCCTGAGTGGATGAGTCTGGGCGGTTTCAGGGGTAGAGGCGTTTGTGGAACTCCAACAGCCTTGAGTCTCCTGTGGCAGCAGCCTCCACCATTAGAGTCTACAAACAGAAAAAAATATCTTCACGATCTTCTAAACTGCTTTCAAAATTAAAATTGATGACTCATAAACACAACTAAACATAGTGACACTGTATGCATCATAACTCATCATAACACTTAAATATGGAAAAGTCTGCATGCTATGAATTTAAATGAGTAAAACTATTGATTATTTAGATTTTATGACTTTAACTATTTATAATTATGAGCCAAGAGCCAGTACTTACATTTTGCTATGTTTAAACGTATTTACATAAATTATAGTGATGTAATCATGTAGTTACACAATTATGTTTGTACTGATAGGTTTGAGTCTGATATTCCATTCTTTTTATCCATTCTTTTTGAAATCAAGAAATGACAAATATGGTTAAAAATATAACATTCTACAAAACATTAGAAAAAAACTCAGATCATAAAATATATTCTATTCTACTTACAAACACTTGTGGTGATGATTGAAAGTTTAGAATATGCTGTTTAGACAAAGTTGAGCTGTTTTGTTATAACTGACAGCTTTTTGTTTTTTTATTGTCTGCTAATAGTAACTATAGATCTATGACCACAACGAAAACAAAAAGAGGAAAACACGCAAACACACTTTAAGCTGGCTTGACAATGCCGTTGCTATGAACTTCCAAGTGGCTGCTAAAGTGTTAATAATAATCTAATAATTTTTATTTATATAGAACTTTTCATGTCGTTGGCAGCTAAAGTTGCTTTACAGACAGGTGATAAAGCTTAACAGTAATACAAGAAATTATAAGTATTCTTTTAGAATCATATAAGAAAATGACAGAGATCAAATTAAAAGATAAATACCAAGAGACGTGGACTTTTAATGAAATGCTAAGTTAAAGTGATACTTTCTAGATGCTTTTTAAAAGGGAGCACTGAGCTTGACTGTCTAATAAAAGGTGGAATTGAGTTCCACAGTTTAGAAGCATGATGACTGAACAAGGCCTCTCCATGTTTTCTGTATCTTACAGAAGATATTTGCAGAAGGGCAGTATTTGCAGATCTAAGATCACGTGCTAGAATATAAACAGACATTCTGTGATGTAAGCGAGTACTAGGTCATTTAGAGCCTTAAAAACTAGTAGCAGAACTTTAAAATATATCCTGAATGATGTTGTCATTTTATCCCAGGTGGTTGCTAAGAGGGTGCCAGATTCAATTGAATCCCAGATCCCATGTTGCTAAGGTGTTGCTAGGCTTTTGCTATGCTGTTGCTACAGTATCCCAGGTGTTTGCCAAGGAAATCTGTCTTTTGTGATATCTGTGGCAGGTAGAGAACAGAATAGAAAATTCAAAACTATGGTCGTGCAAAGTTTTGTGGCTCAAGCTTGAAAATTTCAGTCTGTTAAAACACTACCAAAAAAGCACAAAATAATAAAATGAAGAACAGTGAGTTTGCTTTGTCAAGGCAGCTTAAAAAGTCAATGCACATTTTAATGCATATAAAGTATATATCTGGAATAGTTACTGGATAGTCCACAGTTTAAGAGGTTAAGTGGATTTACATGACTCATACTCCAGCATATTATACTACAACTGAGACTCCTTCTCCTCAAAAAGTCTCAGTCATAGTCCCGTGTGAGATCAGTGTAAGGAGGAATGTGTGCTCACATCTATAAGCTGCAGGTCATCTTTGGCATGTAGATGGCGCAGAAGGTACCAACGGGCCACTGATGCAACCGTCTTAGCCTCTCCCGAACACGGGCCGTAAACGATCTTCTCTAACAGACGCCTCGTTTCCCTTGGGGTGAGAATGGACAATCATATATTGATAAATAAAACAGAAGCTGAGAGGGAACCAAAGTCAATATATATGGCACCTGCATTTGACAGCAGGGCTTCCACTGGCTGGCTAAATTGCTGTTCTGGCCAAACTGCCAAAGGGCTAAAATGAGCTTCACAGCATTGATGTGCATGATAATGCTGGTTAGGATGAATTTTTCTGCTGAAAGGAATTCTCCAGCATTAATCAGCCTAATCTCTACCTGCCACAACTGTAGCGTATGATCAATATGGACAATTATTTCAGTGTGTGCACATGCACTTTGAACTGAGCAGTAAAACTTTTGACTCTAAACACACAATAGCCACTGGGCAATTGCTGAATTACATCAGCAAACATTTATGCAAAACACATTTTTGTAGAACAAAGACAGAGTTAATGACAGTATTAATGAAATGTCAGTACATTTTGCTTTCTTGGATAGATGAAGATGGCCACCAAGGCAATGAATCTTCCAGAATTATTAAAAGATGTTTATCATATATACACTGTATTTATAATACTTCATATATATAATACAGTCATATATTGCTTTTTGTGAAAATACATGAACTTTTGATGAAAGTAATGAACTTTTGGGCCTGTGGTGGAAACTGACAATATGCTTGACAGAACATTACTTCCATCTCAAAATCATTCTGTAGCCACACATATTCTTTCTTCCACTTGACTATGAACTTTCTAATTTTGTTTTTTTCATAGTCATCATCATTATCCAAATTTGTTTTTCCATTAGCACTGCCACTGGCAGCGAAGCCATATTTTAATAACCCAAGCCAAGCCAGCTATGAAGAAATGCTTGGAGCTCTAGTAAGAAGTAATCACTTGCTGTCTGCTATTGTGGTGGTAACCTTAATGTTATACTTGGCGAATTCAGATAAAATCTGATTTGATGCAGCTCTATGTGGAACTAAACATGCTCTGGATCTCTTGCAGGAAGGTGCAAAGTAGTTGTTTTGTTATTGATGGTGGATATTTGTCAATGTATGAAAATTTGGTTAGTTTAATGGTTTGTTAAAAGGAAAAAAAAATAAAAGGGGAAAATTCTCCAAAATCTCAAAGGCTCTGCATTTTTAGTGGCCAAAATGTGAAATGATGTGGCCAGAGCACTGGGTAATAGGCAATGTCGACCCCTGGAGACAAAGTTGAGAAACACTGGAATATTCCTTTAAAACAGCTGCCCACAAAGTGCTCTTCTCTCCTGCTCAGCATACCTGGCACCCATCTTGATGGAATACTGAAGCAGAGCCTGAAAGAGAAGGGCTGGAGGAGAGGGGCCCAGCTTCAACACCTCAGTACAGGCATCCCGCACAAGATCCTTCCATTCATTTCCTCCAACACCAGCCTAGAGCCACAGAAACACATACACACATACACATACATAAAAAAGCTTAGTCACTGCAGGCTGCACACAACATAATCTCAATAACCTTGTCTTGTTACTTCCTATTACTATCGAATTATTCTTTGACTTTAGCCGTTCTACATTCCTTAGCAAGTTCAGACAAATTACTCCCTATATGTAATCTCCTTAAGTGTATTATATAACCCCACAACCACGGCTGTACATCTAAATGGTTATTTACAACCAAATATAATATCAAACAAGCTACTCAAAATACGTTTTTGTCATAATCCACAAGCTAATTTCATATTATTAACTAATGAGCTAACAAGAAGAGCTGGTAGGTTTGCCTCCTACAACAACAAAACATGCACATCTAATTGTTACCAACTCCCCCACATTGGTCATATACATGAACAAATGAACTGAATATATGCAAGCAGGATGCTTATTTTGGTTAATTTAGATTCATCTATTACCACAATCAAAAATAAATGAAAGTAAAGGGGAATATGTGAAGGTCACATATATTTTAATCAAGGGATTGCCTTAAAATGAGTGGCTATTCACAGGGACTAATTTAATCTAAGAGGCAAAGCTGGAGTCAGCTTAAAATGAAAGAGAAATTCAGCTGACAGAACAGGGATAATTACCATACCATGAGCATAAGGACTGAAAGGAAAAGAACATTGAGGGAAAAGAGGCCAAATGTTGCCTCGTTGAGACTGGAGGGCATACTGTCGAAATCTTGTGCCCTTCTAAACACTACATATATACTTGAATTCACATTTATTTACATCTTGTTCAGCCTTGTTGGGGAAAAAAAAATTCTGTGATATCTGCGAAAACGTAAACATTCTTTGGTAAGAAAAACAGCCTGAGATCTGAAATTTATAAACGTTAAAGACATATTTTAGATCAAAACCAAGTGATATTCAATTTACTATCACACACACACACACACACACACACACACACACACACACACACACACACATATATATATATATATATATATATATGCATATGCATGGTACCAGCACAACACACATAACACACAGTGTCACTGCAGTGCTGAGAATGATCCACCTTCTGAAAAATACCTGCTCTGTGGTGGTCCTGACCATTAAAGAACGGGGTAAAAGGGGGCTAACAAAGTATGCAGAGAAACAGACAGACTAATGTTTGTAACTGTAGAACTACAAAGTGAACCTATATAGTAAGTGGAGCTGATAAAGTGGACAATGAGTGTAGATACAAGGAGGTGTACTTAATAAAGTGGCCTGCCTGCCTGTGTGTGTGTATGCATGTGCGTATAAAAACAAAACACTTCATTTCTCACAGAGGTTTTACCTTGAAAACGTAGTAAATATGGGAATTAGTATTCAAACTTTATTTGAGAAGCCAAACTTTTTTAACTCCAATTAGCTCTGTAACAAAAATTGGCACTCAAGGACAGTTTCTGTAAGGCAGGTACATTTCAGAAAAACCTTAAACTGAGAGATATTACACCCTAAATCAATCTGTTTTGGGATGTTGTTTGTATAGTCTTTTACAAAATATTAAATTAACTATCAATAAAACAAATAACGGCAAACATTTTATAAGATGTATTTTTGATAATTAGGGTAATTTAAGGCAAGACACTTTATACCTTTGCCTGAAGGGTCAACCTCCTTTTGTCATTTTTTTTGCTCAGAGTATCTCTATGTGAAAGGTCTTTTTAACACCTCTGCTGACAGTACACTGCTAGCAGGACCCATCCGTCCATCCCCTGCAGTCTCATGAGTGTGGAGACAAAAGCCATGCTGACCCTCCTGTCAGCCTCAGCTGTTTACTTTTCCATTGCTTTACTGTCAGCAACACTAATCGGACTCTCCACTCTCCCCTCACTTCAATGTCTAACTACAGGAGACAACACAGGCTGTATGCTCTGCGTGTGTGAACGTTTGTCTCTCATCTGTGTTTAAACTTCTCCACAGCTGTGACTTACAGATACTGCGCAACAGTGAGGAAAAAAAAACAACAAACATAAAAACAGACAAATCAAACAAACAAACAAACAAAAAAAACATTTTAATTTAGTTTTTTTTCTTATTTGAGGCAATATTCTGACCAGGCACAATTAATCCACCAACAGTTAAGCCTCATTTGGAAAAACACTGAAAGCAATGTGAAATTAAAAAAAAAAACAAGTTTTTATTATGCAATAACATATTTTGATAATGCTACAATGATATAACAACCTGCAAGGAATACTCATATCCATACATGCACTCTTATCTCATAAACTGAATACTTACTTAATGTAAATATACACACACATAGGTCATGCAGTGCCATAAAAGTTTCTTTTTCTTACTAAACAAATATAGTGAAAAGCATATTCATGGCATAAACCCAAATGTCAGTGAAGACCCATGTACTCACCATGCATGGGGCTAGTGCAAGCAGAGCCAGGCGGAGAAGGCTGCCAATCTTTCCACTGTGGAGGCCTAGCTGAGAGGCCAGCTGGAGGCTCTGCTTGAGGGCCACTGAGGCTTGGGCCAGCAAACCCTGTGAGCGGTACACCTCTGCCAGCCACTGAGAAGGAGATAAAGAGAAAAGCGGAGTGAGAACAGAAACAGGCACAGAAACAAAAAAAGAAAGATAAATATAGCACTTCAAAAATGAAATCTGCAGTAGATCTGAATGAGATTTAACACATTCTTACTTAACTTCAACCACAACTAAATAAATATATCCCACTTTCTTTAAAAACATCTGCAGCATTATTTTATGAAGACTTTGCTGAAAAGTACGTGATCGAAAGAAACTTGCACATCAAAGGTTTGTCCTCAAGCAAATGAAAACATTTATGAAGCATCATAATCAAGGATAGCATATCTGCATGGCTAGATTTGTAGTATTAAAAAATTTCAAAAAGAGGAGGATAGTTTAAAAGAAAATTATCCTAACTTGCATAACCTGCAAAAGCAGATGAAATTGTTAATGCATGTGGAAAATATTCAAGTAATTGTGTTTCATTACTATACGTCAGTATTATTAAGAAAGATTTGTACTTCACTTGAGTATTATTAAAAGTGTAACCCACAATCATGCTAATTCATCTTTGTGAGATCTAGTACTGCAAATCCCCCAAACAAAGAAAACTTTCAATTCATCTTTTAAAACATGATACTTTCACTTAAGCATATTTACGTATTTTCCACCCGTCAATATTGAAAATTATTAAAAAGATCCACTTAAATCAGTGACCAAAGAGTGACCAAAGTTAAATGTCTAGCAAGAGATTAGCCACCAGCTCTGTTCAGTCAGTCAGTGTCCTGCAGTACTCACGTGCCAGGCAGACACTGAAGTGGGGTTGGCCATGACAGCAGAACTGAGCTGATCTAGCACTGTGGTTGGTATACAATTACCACCACCAGACAGTAGGAGGCGCTCACACTGAACTTGCCTCAGCAACAGGAACACTGCAGGATGCTCAGAAGACACACTTAAAACCTGTGACAACCAAACAACACAACCATGTAACAATCACTATGTTTATTATGTATCTTCATAACTAAACCAGAATTTACCTTTTTGAGCAAAGCTGAAGAAGCACTCAATGAGCACAAAAGGTGACACCCAAAAGGTCAGAAGAAGAAACAATGACGTTTTGAGATGTATAGAGAGACAGAGGAGGATGGAAAGGTGAAAGAGAAGGGTGGGGGGTGACAGATGGGACAGATTACAAATATCATGGCTCTGACAGTCATTTCTGCTGCTAAAGCTAAAGTCATAAATAATGACGGTCAGTCTGTCTGCGTCTGCACCTGTGGCCCACACAGATAGGTGACAAGAGATGAGCTGACCAGCGAAAGAGTGAGAGAGAGAGACACAGACAGAGATAGAGACAGACAGAGATACAGAGAAAGAGAAAAACAAAACAAACAAATGTTTGTCTTACATTACTAGTGAGGACTTCCATTGGTTTCTACTGGTTTTGGATTACTGTAACCAAGTAGTACTACACCTACACCTTAACCTAACCTCAACTTAAAAATCCAAAATGCAATTTTCTGCTCTTTTAGCTTTTCCAAAAAAAGTAATTTGTGGTGAAAACAACACATGCTCAAGTGAGGACCAGCAAAATGCCCTATCATTGTGTCCTATCACTGAGAGGCCATATAGTCCTCACGAGGATAGCAATTCAAGCATACACACACATATACACACACACACAACCTGTGAGCAGAGGGTTTCAGCTTCATCGTACTGTCCGCTCTGTTTGAGTCCAGTCACAGTCTGCTGCAGTGTCCAGTTCTCTAGAGCCTGAGCCAACAACCCATCCTCCCTCTGCAAGCCTTTCACTGTATGAGAACACACAGTACAGAACACAGTCAGAACACCCACACATAGACACACCTACACAGCAACCTTGGCATGCTTTTTATATGAACAAAAACAGAGATGCACCTATGTGGAATTTCTCAACTGATGACGGTAACTGATAATTAACAACTTGTTCTGGCCAAAACAGATACCAATAATGCATAATTTACAATACTTTTTTTTTTTGCACCTGAAAACAAGTTCACTTTATAGTCCATATAAAAAAAATGTAAGCATGAGATATTACTCAGCAGTCACTCCGCAGTTATTTAAATTATTTACGAGAGCCTCTTACAACAGTAGGTGAATGTAGCAGATGAAGTTATGGGTCGGGCCCAAATACTCTTATTAATATAAAAGTGGTGTTTCTTCATAGGAGGGGAATCAAACCACCAATTTTTGTATGAAATTCCAAGACTGGACCAATAATAATAATGTTCCCATTTCTCAGCAAGTAATATAACAGCCGCTGATATATCATTCAATGCTATAAAAATACGAGGAAAATTCTTCTCACCACAATGTGATGCATTTAGAACATGTTCTAGACACATACATGAAAAATGTACAAAACATCCACTGACCTGTCTCAGACACCTTGGTCATGAGCACCTTCTCTAGACCCTCTCTGCAAGGGCTGGAGCCTGAGAGAGCACATGCTGTGTTTTCAGTGTGGCACGCAGCCATGAGCCCCGCCCACCCTGCAGGATCATCTGAGTGAAATGATGAAAACAAACAGTTAAATTCCCTGACAGAGCATCTTCTACATAACTGCTGCACATCAAATATGAACTACCCATGGATTTTCTTGGTTCCTTGTGCCCCATGACCAGATCATCATTTGGTCATGCCTGCTACAGATCCTCCAGCTCCAAATGATGGAACTAACTCTGATTGTTGAAAACACTTCCTTATATACATATTGAAGCTTTAAGTGCTCCTTAGGGAGCTGTACACAGATTTCTTAAACAATGTTACCTCTTAAGCCTCCAAGGATCAGTTTACAGTGGATGGAGTATTGATTATTCCTGATGATATGCATCCGTCAATGCCCACTCTGGCCAAATTATATGAGACAATGAACCGAAGCCAGAGTAATACATACTGAGGATAAATTAATGCCTCATCATCAGTATAAATGAAAGTACATGACAGTCAAGTGGACATTATAAACTGTTGAGCCACAACATTATGACCAATATGCTTCTTAATATGCTGTTGGTCCTCCACATACCGCCCAAACAGCTCCAACCTGCAAAGTCATTGACTCTACAAGATCTGTGAAGGTGTCCTGTGGTATCCGTCAACAAGTTCTTAGCAGCAGATCCTTTCAGCAAAATTCAGCCATTCCTGTCAGTCGCGGGGTGGAGCCACTACAATATGTAGTGTCAATGTGTTTGTTTAACCCTTTCAACCCTAAGCTTGCAAAAGCCCAGCATTATTTGTAGTTATATAGTTAGTATTCAATATCTAGTTCAGCTAATGAGTCTTTGTTATGTTAACACAGGAGTGCTGATGCTGGAATTGAACAAATCTATGAGATGGCTGGGGACTTTGAGTTAGACAGACTAACTCGAGATACCAGCTACTTTTTTGAATACAAGAAATTCTTGTTTTTTATTTTTATTTGCATTGTTTTAATGATATATGATGTTTTTAGAAACACAAATACACTTATTGCCAAGATACATGGTTTTAAATTATGTATTCAGATTCCTAATACTTTTGAATGGTACCATATATACATAATTAACACATTCTTGTCCCCCATGTAGTATGGCTTAGAACCCAGCCAGGCCTCGCTTAAACCTATACTCACCAGGACAGAGGAGTACAGCTCTCTGGATGGTCTTTAGAGCATTCCTTCTCCTGTCTTCATTCAAGTGTCTGCCTGAGGCCAACTGATTTACACCACTGTACAGCAGTGCCCTCTATAGAGCAAAAGCAGGATGAGCAAATGAGACATGAGACAGGATGGTCTCCTGTTCTACTGCTTCATGTGCCTAGAATGGCTACAAACTTAAACCCACCTTTCCCAAAGTCAGGCTAGCATGGCAGGCCACACTGCCTGCCACAGCTCCTCCCTGGTGAAGACATGAGAGATTTTAGCCAGTTAATAGTTTTACTCTAGCTTTAATGAAGACAATAATTTTACTCTGGCTTTAATGAACACTTTTTCATCATTTTAGTGATGGCAAATGTAAAAGGACAGGTTTTTGGTTAAAACACACAATTTCCTTAAGCGTTAAAATGGCTCAGAGATGCTTACGTCAGCTTTGCTTGGACAATACTGTGGCACCAGTCTGGACAGCAGAGCCCAGAGGGATGGATTTCCTGGGTTCCTGTCACAAGAAATAGTCAAGCAGAAAATATTTATATGCAATAAAATAATGGTGTGACTAGTTACAGCTATAAATTAGGGCTACATAAAAACAAATAAAAAGCAGATTTGTGAGGTTAGGTGCCAATTTCATTTAATTTTGGGCCGTTTAATCAACTCAGTTAAACTTAATTGAAGAAGGGTCTTAATTAACCAGGCATGATTTGCAAGGGTTCTTAAGTGGTTGAATTTTGTTGGAAACTTCAAAGAGTTGGCCACTTACGTTCTTAATTTGGTAATAAATAAGTAAGGACACTTTAATCAAATGTCCACCATCTTATCTAAACTTTACAAGCTTAGCTGTAGCAATTTTAACACATCTAACTGAGATGTTTGGACTTTGGCTATAAACATGGCTCTGGGAAGCCATTTAGCAATTAACTGATCTGAAACTAGATCTCTATATTTGCATTCTGGTCTTGATCATTTAAATTGACCTTCAAAACAGGCCTCAAAATCAGCATCAACGTCAAACTCCCAGTGGTTTCACCATGTACCTGAAAACAGCCCTAGAAGCCTCTCTCTGCACTGAGCTATAGTTGCCCTGCAGGGCCAGCAGAGTGCAAGTGAGCAAGCAGCGCTCCTCCACAGCACCCCCTAGTGTTCCCTCCAGCTTAAACAGCTCCAAGAGGGCAGCGCTAGCCAGGGTGACATCTCCATGAACCAGGCCCAGAGCACACAGACACACCAGGCTCTCCGGAACAGGCTCCTTAAGCAAAGAGCTGTGTGAAGGATAAATGTACACATGGACAGATGAGGATTAAGGCCCAGGCACAGAGTGTAAATACAGAAGTGTTTTGGTTGCAGATTAGTTGGCTCACCACTTGAACAGCAGAGTTTTGGCAGTGTCCATGTTTCCCAGTCTGTGCTGCAGTAAAGCTAAAGCTGTCAGTATGTATGCTTTCTCCTTCTCAGTGGAGGCAACTGCAAGAGCTTTTTCATAGGCTGAGATGAAATGAAAACATACACACAGTCAGAAACTTTGAAACCGTTATTAAACATTATGTACTAGCATTTCCTAGCATGTGATCTACGCTCATGACGCTATTTTATTGTCTTTTTAGTTTTTATTGGTTTAACTAACTAACAACAGTAATAATAATAATAATAATAATAATAATAATAATAATATATAGCAAGTTAACAAAGTGCTTTTCAGAGGGAGATAAGTACAGAAACAATAAAATCCTAACTTATCCCTAACACATTAGAACACAAACAGAAGACTTTAAAATTGCTTAAAGCCACCTGCAACTATCTTATATGTGAAAGTGCACATGTAATATACAGTTTGTGGATGTATTTTTTTCTTTTCATGTCTATGTTTGATGCATGCCTTGAAACCTTCATATGGCAATATTTAAGGCTTAATTTAATAGAATTAAATTAAAACTGGCACTATGTGTTAGATGTATACTATACATAGCACTCCATATAAATATGAACAGAACTATATTTACCATTAACACTTTCTTGCAGGCGTCCTGCTCTAAAGCAAGCTAAAGCCAGTCCTGCAAGATCATATAGTTCCTCTAGAGGTGTGGAGGAGTAATAATGAACTGCCTCCTCCCATCGACCTGTGTCACTACAATCAAAACACAATTTAGCTTTAATAACAGTTAGTGGTTCTATATGCAAGTGCAGAAATAATAAGCTCCATTTTATGCATTAGCTATTAGGGGAAAAAGAGAATGAGTGTTACCACAGGGCCCGTGCATAGCCTCTAAGAGCAAAGCTGAGCTCCTCTATGTGGGGACCCTTCTGGAGCAACTCCACAGCTCTGAGCGACATACAGAATGCAGACACGCACTCAGATTTATATACAAAAACTGGAAAACAAATTGCAATAACAACATGTAGCATTAGCCACTGTGCCTACCTCTTATAGGCTTCAGTGGCTTGCTTCTTCAGCTGCAGGTGTTCATTTAGGAAGCCCAGCATAACAAAGGCATCAGTGTCTGTCTGGATTCTCTCTGCAAAATTTGGGTAGGCCAAGTACGTTTTCCAACAATAATGAATGATCACTGTCACAATATGCTACATGGCAAAGGGTGCATGTGTGTGCAAAGTTTACATACCTGTGTACTTGCTCAAAGCCACCTGTGCAGCTGAGACAGCATTCATCTGGACTATGTTGTAGCGATACAGCTCTGAATCTCGGTTACTCTTGTCCAGTAGAGTGGAACAGACCCAGTAGGCATAACCCTTCACCCCTTCAGTCTAATAACCAACACAAAACAGCAAACATATATTATTAAAATGCACATTCAGAAACACAAGAACTATATAATTAATGTTCTCTCAAATGTAACTCTTACATGAGTGCTGAGCTCAGTGGTGTGTCTGAAGAGGTCCATAGTGTCATAGCTGCCTACAGTCTCAGCAATAAGAGCCTAGCGCACAGAAAGAGAGAACAGGTCAGTTCTAGCTTTCATGAAGTGAATGAGACATTATACACATAAAATGCAGGTGTAAGTGCACCCACTTAGAATGGATTTAAATACAATCACTCAAATCACTTCAGGAGGTGGTCTAAGGTGCATTTTAGCCAGATATACAAGTGTAAATGCATCAGTCTAGCCAAGCCACATTTGACATCCATCCCCAGCTAGTACTGTGATGTATAGGGGGGAAAAAAACCCACTTAAGGACCAATTGACTTGAATCAGAGGGGTTCTTCCAGTAGTATTTAACTCAGTAATCAGAGTTTAATTCAGTATACTTAAAATAAAGGACAAGTTTTAATCTTTACTTCGCCTCATCGTTATTCAATGTCTCGCTGCAGCACATTAAGTTTTAATGTAGGTGGCACATGACTATGATGACTAATACAGAGGTTAATTATTCTAAACAGATGTCTTTCTCTAAATATCAATGTAAAGCTGGGACAAGGAAATAAATAATGCCAAACACCACCAGCTGATTTGCATATTTGATTATCAAGTGTAGATGCATGTAGCTCAATTCTTATCAGGTTGCAATCTAGATACAAGTCACATGAAACATACAGGTGTAATAGAGAGATTAAGTGGATATTTTGAATTAACTACATGTTTCCTTTACCTGTCCAATCCAACAGTTGACATACAACGGTTCCAGAGACTGGGCGATCTTGAAAGCTTCATGGGCAAGCTAAAGGGTAAATAAAAATAAAAAGGAAAGATTTTAGCAGCACTGCAAATATTCATGTAAATATTCAAGTTAACAAGCCTAATTTACCTCAATGTTGCCCTTCTTCAGATACAAAGTTCCAAGGTTTGTCCATGCTACAACATTCTGAAAATATAAGAGTAAAAAAATCAGTGTGATGCTATACGTAAACAGGTCACTGCGTTACTTGTCCTACACTTACACTTGATTCCACTTTGACTGATTTGATAAAGCTGTGCTGAGCAAGGGCAAAGTTTTCAATCCCTGAGAAACAAACAGAATTTAGTTAATGAAATGAAAGGAATTTGTACAAGCACAGTTTCAACCACTAGTCAACACAAAAAATTGAATTTTAAAGACACACTATAAGAACATTCATTCATTTTATTAAAACTGCTAATAACTTACCTTTAGCCATGGCCACTACCCCTAACGCATTCCAGTAAGTGTGATTCCTACTGTCCAGCATAACTGCTTTTTTAACACACTAAGGGAAGATCAAACAAAATAATGTCTAGCAACATCTTATTTCACTAGAGATACCTGAAAAAACAGATCCCAGGTCAAAAGGAATACCTGGAGGGCTTTCTCCAGCAGTGGCTGTACGTCCTGCTCTGTGGACTGGGAGAGGAGCAGCCTGGACTGGTGGTAATAATTGAGACCCAGATCACACCAGATGCTTGGGGCCTCCGCCATCAGTTTCAGAGCACGGCCATAACATCTGGGACACAGAGGTTATAAAATGTTTGAGATAAGTAAACTGTACAGTTCTGAGAGCGAAACAGCACTGTTTCTCAAGCCAATTAGGTGTAGAACAGCAAAAAACATAGTATTAATATCACTTTAGGCATCTAGGAATCCATTCAACATCACAAAGCAGATACTCCGACACTTTTTAAAAACCCACTTCTGTGATCATGCGTAACAGAATGAGGGTGTCCTTCATGTGTATCTGTACAGTGTGCATGCGTATAGCCCACCTCTCCCCAAGAGTAAGTAGTTGTTTCTGGTCCAGCATGTGGTTTTGATCTGCAGGCTCTGCTCCACATAGAGCTCCAGGCACCAATGCACTGGCCCGGTTAGGAGACACAGTACTGCAGCTGGTGCAGGCATCACCCAGCAACTTCCACAGGCAGGACAAGTCAGAACGCTTCTGCACTGCTCTGCACAGGCAAGAGTCACAAATATTAGGGACTCCCTAAGGACTTGCCAAATTATAGACTATGTACAGAATAAAAAGGTTTACAGAGGTATGGTACCTGAACAAATATTTAATGGCTTCCTGTATCAAGTCTACTGCTTTGCCATCCAGGTAGTCCTCCATTGCAGTCTTAGCCATGGCTAAAAGACATTCACCAAGACCTAATAACAAGAATAAAATAAAGTTGATTTAATTATTTTGTATCAACAATAATTGGATTGATTTAGCAACTGTTTACCACCAACTATGTTTAAGTATTTCTTTATTCAACAAACATCAAGCTGAACTAAGTAAAACATTCCATGTCCTAATGTAATCAACAGCATCACCTAGATAAGAAGCATCATTGGGAAAGCCAAACAACAACAAAATAAATACATGTGCAATCATTGCAGAAATATAAATATCAAAACTAGGATAAGAACCACAATAACTTGCATTAAAAAACCTGAAAAAACCTTACTCACCCTTCAATGCTGGCACATATTCTTCTCTCTCTATAATGTGCAGGTACTCTCCTGCAGCCTCTTTGAACCTGCCCAGGATCTGTTTGATCGCTGCGGTCTGGTAGAGGCTGTAGATGGAGCTGGGCTGGAGTACGTGGGCCTTGGCGAAGGCTTTGAGGGCAGCTGTGAAGCTGTGGCGGTTCAGGTAGGCCTCACCTAAACACTCCCAACAAACCCAGTCCTCAGGGTCGGCCCGCAGTGCTGCCTGCAGACTGTCAGGAAAGCCGTCCAGAATTAATATGACATAAAACAAATGTATCGTTTAGGTGGGATTGGATATGTTGGTTAGTGGAATGACTCATACTCAGCAATAGCTTGTGGGTGCTGGCCAACTTTTAGGTAGTACAGTCCTCTCCTCATCCAGGCCCATTTGGCTGAACCTGGTGTCGCTCTCTCTGTCACTGACTGCAGAACTGCTAAAGCAGAATCCTATATAAGAGATGATATATAAGGTCAAACTATATACCAGCATGTGTAACTTTTTCAGCAGTTCACAACTCTAGTCCTTGAGCACCTTTGCCCTTTGTCTTTGGAAGGATCCTGGATCTAATACACCTGATAAGCTATTTAATAAGCCCTTCCTGAGTCGATGTGAGTGTGTTAGAGCAGGAAAGGTGCAGAGCAGGTGGTTTCAGGGCTGGGATTTGGAACCAATATTGTAGGTGCACATAAACAAATGAACAGACAAAAAACCTAGCAATGAGATGGATAAGTAATTTTTTCTATAAGGCTGAAATGCAGTGTGGTGTGTAGCACTCACCATGTCTCCTTGCTCCATGCTGAGGTCCACAGTGGCGGCTCCAGCCTCTCCATCAGTGGAGTCTAACTCGAATGCTCTTTTATAGCAGCCTCTGGCTCGGCCCAGGTCTTTGGCTACCTCCCTGTAGTAGTGACCTAGGTAGCGGAAGACTGAGCCCAGATGGGGATCCAGCTTCGCAGCCTGGACAGATGGCGTGATAATGAGAAAATCTACTCCAAATACACTCATTTAAATAATAGAGGTGTAAATCTCTGACCTCATACATTTCCATAATGAATCTTTAGAATCCGCATGTCAAACACAAGGCCCAGGGACCACATCAGGCCAGCAGCACAGTCTTATCTGGCCCGCAAAATTATTTTGATTTCCTATTGGTATTAGCCCATTTCACAATGTGCTGCACTACAATCCCCAGCATGCACTGCAATGTAATAGGCAATCCCACTCCCCTCCCCCAAAAACAATGTATGGGACAGCAATTACACAACACTGTTAAAAATGGGAGGTCAGCTCAACTCAGAATGACACAGTAACTGATTTCATGACTTTTCTTGAGTTGACTCAACGTCTGAGTTGAGTTCACACAACTCGAGCTTCTTAGTTGAGTCGACAGTTTAGTTCTGCATCTCAGCTGGGTAAATAAAATGAACTTGTTTTTTATACTCAGCTTCCCCACTAGCCAGGACTCTTTCCATCACACAGTCCTGCTAGACATTTTTTCTAGTACACACTTATAGACGGCTATGGCATTGCTGGGGCTCAAACTCACAACCTCCTGTTGGGGTGACGGCTTAGTCCACTTAGCCAATCAGGGACACAAGAAGCAACTCAGATTTTGTGTCTAGAAATGTTTAATACACTGGAAAAAATATTTGTTGTTTTAACTTTAAAGCATGGAATCATTTCATGCGGTGAAACTGTCTAATAATTCATGCCAACATCAGGAGATTGTGAGTTGGAATCCCAGCAATACCACAGTTGTCCATATCCAGAAGTCCAACAGGAAAATATGCCAGATAGGACTGTGTGATAGATGAAGTGCCAGCTAGTGGAGAAGTAAAAAACGCAAACTCAGTTTTGTTTATCTCACTGAGATGCAGACCTAGAAACAGTAGCTGGGAGAATTTTGACTAAACTAGTAAGTGTGACGGTGTCCTCAAGTTGAGTCAACTCAAGAAAAGCCATGTAATCAGTTACTACATCATTTCGAGATTTTTTTAAAAATACACTAACATACAAATGTAACTAGAGGAATTTAATAATACAAACAAAATATGAAGCTTTTTTTTTTACTTAAAAATAGCACAGGGATTTTTATTTAGGCTAGGAAATGAATGCATATTTTACTGAATATTATTATAATTGATTAAGGAATTTCAAAATAGGGACAACCTACCTTTATCAAACAACTACATTTGTATCAACAACTCAGTCTCTGCTAGTGTAAACAACTAACACTGTAATATTTTAATACTACAGGCTAAATGTTGACCATAAGTGATGGTATGTAAAAGTCACTGCTGGCACCCCAAAGTTTTCTTACATGCTTCTATAACCTAAGACTAGCTCAGCTAGTTTGCATTGAAGTGCTTGTAGTTACTGAATAATAAAAATTCTTAGTATGTAATAAGCCTGGGATTTTAAAGGGTTAAATCACATTTGCTCCAACACGAGTACAACTAAAACACCCAGTGAGACTGAAAAGGACAACAGCTGGGGAGATAACTTCAGCAACCCACCTTCAGTAGATGAGTGTGGGCTTTGCTCCTGTCTCTCCGTGTCTCCTCTCCCATGCTCCAATATATCTTTCCAAGCAAGAAATACAGCTCTCCGCTGTCTGGCCTCTGAGATAGAGCTTCTACAAAGCTATAAATCAAAGACATACATGTAAAATGTCTTTGTTAGGGTATATCCTGATTAGCATTAAAACAACCTCCTTTTTGTACTGTCACTGTCCATTTTATCAGCTCTATTTACCAAAAAAGGGCACATTGTAGTTCTACAGTTACAGACTGTAGTCTTGTTGTTGTTTAGCAACAGGTTTTAATGTTACGGCTTATCAGTGTATACATGCGTGTGTGTGTGTGTGTGTGTGTGAGTGTGTGTGAGTGTAAAAGAACATGAGGAGAAAGAGTGATACCACTGCTCTGCTTGTTGGTGCTCATCTTTAGATGTATGAGCCATTCCCTTTAGGGTTAACCCCTCCACGGAGCCAGGGTGAGAGCTCAGCAACTCAGAAGAAACCTTCAGAAGACAAAAACACTTTGGACAATGCAGTGTGTTTTTCAACAAAATTAAGTTAGGCAATGCATTAAAGAACCAAAAAGGTTTACATAATAGTGGCAGTGGGGGCCTGGTCTAGCATCACAGGCGAGGCAGAGAGCCAGTTACTCTAAACCAGCAGCTTAATTTGGCTATGGTTTTCACCTATATATTGTATGCAGCCCACTTTGTATTTCAGTAGGTCACTGAACACTGAGAGAGAGGAAGCTTCAAGACATAGAGCCAAACACGAGAACAGAGACTAAGAAAAGTCCAATTCTCAGAGGTTTTTTTGCATGTGTAACAGCTGGGAAAAAACCTTTTTAAAGACTAAGCTCTGTATCTGCTACTCCCATCTCCTGTGTCCTCTATGCCATTAGAGTCAATGGTTCATAATCACATATTTAACTGTCAACAGGCAGGCTGAATCTAAATAAGAAAAAAGTGTGAAGATTTGTACCTGAAATGCTTCTGCAAGCTGTCCCTTCTGCAAGTGGGCTCTCCCTTTTAATGCTAACAGTGCAGGGTCATTGCTTGCATCTGCCATCTGAAAGAAAGTCATTTTTGGCTGAGGCAATGAGCTGATCGCAATAGAATGTAATAACCTCCCCACCCAAAAAAAAACATTGATCCTATGACCTGAAGGGTACCTGAGAAAGCATCTCCAGAGCTTCTTCTGTACTCTGCTCCGTTCCAACTCTCACAAGCGCCTCCAGCTTCACTCTCAACAGCTTCTGGGTCCAGTCTTCATCATACCCTGCACTCACTATCAGCCCTGAAACACATACCAGGGGCCTATGATGTTGAAAGTGCCATTACTCCATCTTCACTATTCACTTTAAACCTTTTATTTAACTCTTAATCTGAAAGCGTATTACTTTGTTATTGATCTTCAGGTTTATTGTCAGGGAAACGACTATGTAAGGTGTACAGTATTATACAGTAGAGAGTATATACAGTAATATTGTTGTGTAGACAGTCTACATGTAAAACACTACTGCCTTTAGAATATTTAGGGAAAATAGCAAATTAGGGTGTGCTCACCAAAGTGCGTACACATACATGCCAACACACACACACCACACACACACACCACACACACACCACACACCTTTGTAAGCCACAAGTCAGGCGATGAGAGACATATTGTACCTTGACTGGAAGACAGTGCACTGTCAGCATACTTGTGCATTTTCAGCTCAGCCTGAGCAAGGTTGTACCACCCAATGACGCTGGAGCGCATCCGTCTTAGTCCTGTAACCAAAGGCAGCAGGGCTGTTACAGAAGGCTACTGCAGCGTTTTTCCCTGACTGCCCCAACATAAGACTGCAAAATTGTGCAAAATGACATGCTTTGGTGATTTTCCACGTGGAAATAACTTTACACATCCATACAGGGAACATGCTTAAATATGGCATTATCTAATCATTTTAGTGCACAGCTTCTATTTATTTTAATGAATTTAACATAGTGGAAAAAAATAAAAAATAAAAAATGTACAATTTGCAATAACTTTTGTACAGGCCACATTTTATGTTTTATTTTCCACAATCTGTTAAATTCAGCAAATAAACAGTAATTATAACCTTTAAAAAGTGCATATGCATGATCTCCATAGAGGAAGTGTACTTACTTTCACTCTGAAAATCAACAAAACATGTAAATTGACAAAGGGCACCCAAACTTTTGCATACGGCTGTATATGTAGACTTCTGAGTGCCATCATATCTTTCTGCTGCTTTTCATACAGGTAAAACTAAAATAAAATGTATTCATTCTGTGACACTGTGCTGTTACATTAACGAGGGGAAGTTTCGTTCTTTAATTTCATACCTACCAAGACCTAAGCTTTTGACAGCATCTTCATATTTCTTATCCTGAAGAGCTTTTACACCTAGGCCAAAGTGAGCAAGCGAACTGGCTGGGTCCAGCTCCAGCAGACGAGTGTAGCAGCTCACAGCATCCTCACTGCAATCATCTACCAAACACAAATACAACAGACAACGCAAATAATAAATCAATCCATTGATACCATTAATAAATCAATCAATACAACATTTCTTATCTGTATTACACTGTTAAATGCTGTGTCATTTTCTACATGTAAAGAACAAACATTTGTTTGAAACCTGTGTCACTAAGGATTCATCTCAGGAGCTTTAGGCTATTGGTATGTAAGCAGAGTATGGTTTTAATGTCTCTAGACACCACACCTGAAAGCAAGTAGTACTCTCCTAGGACTTCTAGAGGGTATGAGTCTTTTGGGTAGAGGGACAGCATGTTCTCACACATCTCTTTCAGCTTCACCACTTCATGAGGGAGCTGGGAAAACATGCAAGACAGGTCACATATAAAGTCCATGTGCTTATTTTTATTTCTAAAAGTTGACTTTCCTGATATATGATATTGCAGAAGACACAGAAGATCACTTACTTTTGAGAGACATTTAATGTAGTCTTTTGTGAGCTCTCTATGGTCTTCACTAGGTACATGTGCTGTTAGCTGGAGAGCTTGTTCAAAGGCAGAGAGGAGCTGAAAGGGACAGACAGACTTGCTTAACAAAAATATCCTATAAATTGAAATAGGAAAAAAAAAACACACCTAACCAGTATTTAAAATGTACCTATTGTTACTTATTTATACTATTAGAACATTTTACTTTATCCTATTAATCGCATCAAGTTCTTCATGTAGGCCCAAATTTCAATTTCTCACTCTCACAGTGAAACAAATTATATGTTATGTTGCTTCCTAATAGTTAACAAATAATTTAAAGCACTCAGTGAATAATAAGATCAATAGGGTGATATCTATATGCAACCTCACTCTAAATATTTAACTACTTTAATTTTATTTCACTCACATGCTGTTGAGTCTCATTGTCCTGCTTTTCCACAGTACCCAGGAGCAGTCTGGTCATTTCCCTCCATAGTTCAAGCAGCTCGAAGTTCTCCACACCTTCCTCTGCCTCCCTCATCTGGATGAGTCGCCGCCACACTCTTGCTACCTGCACAAGATGAGACATTACATGCACACCAAGACTGAATTAATTTGCAATTTATTCCAAGCTTCTCTCTTCCTTTTACAGATTACAGCTTTAATTAATTACACAACAGGCTATGACATCGCTCACATCTTTTAGGTCATTTTATTTATGTTACAATGTGTGTTCACACAGATTTGCCTACTGTTCAATTAAAATACATTGTTCCTTTTTAGGTGCAGCCATAATCTTTGTCCATTAATAGTACTACTATTGTTCTAAATGTTGGATCTATGAGCAAAAACTTTTTTTAAAAAGCAAAGGAAAATATAAAAAAATGAATTATAATTAGGTAGCATGCTGTATTAACCCACCTTTCACACTAGCTAAAATCTTGTCTGAAAATGTTAAAACTATTATCATACGAAACACACAGTGCACAAACTGACACATGCATGCATGTAAACATAAAAGTAGACCAGTCTGAAAATCTCATTTCCTTACCTGTAAATAGTTCTTTTCTGTCTGATAGATGTCCACCAACTTCTTGCTCACTTCAAAGCATTTGACTTTGTCTGAACTGCAAATCCAGAAAAGCATGTTAACATAAGATACAAAACTCAAAACAGCTCAAAGTAACACAAAGGGCAAGATTTATTTAGCTCAGATACACTCACGTTTCATACAGGGTTATGAGTTTTTGATAGATTTTGGGCAGTTCAGCTTTGAAGTCTTCTTGGTCGCTTTTTTCATACAGGTTTGCAAGGCCCTGTAAAACACACCCATTACAATGTTCACTGTTGTTTAAAAAAAAAAAAGACTGCAAAACCAAAAATCATGTTAAACCATGTGATTGAAGTTTTGACTACAGGTTTTATACAGAGAATTTTACCAGGCTGCATAAGTACACAACGCACATCTCTTCATTTATTTTTTCTCCCAGGACAGAATATCTGCACGCGTCCTCAAGTTAAACTCAATTTTTTTAAGCTTTTTTTAATCCCACTCCAAAAATAATTTTAAACCAGGTTTACAGTGATGATATATCAAATACAAAAAAAACATTTAAAGTAACTCACACCGATATCATTGCACTATATAATGCAATAGCTTTCTGTGACAAAGCTTTTAGAGACATTAAACCGACCGATTAGCACCGACCTGCCATGCAAGCAGTTGGTCGGGCTCCAATTCTGCAGCTTTCTTGTAGGCAGTCTGGGCCTGATCAGGCTGCTCCAGCTCACCAGCCGCAACTCCAATGAAAACCCAGGCATTGTAGTTATTCTTCTCAAGTTTGAGAACAGCCTGGAATGAAGATAATGTGAATTTAGTGAGACAATCACCCTGTCAGGACAAAACTGTGTCTGCTTTAGCAATGTTGGCACCAACAGCTACTGTCAGCTGTGAGGAAATTCTCACCTTACAGTGTTTCAGAGCTTCTTTAAACTCCTTATTTTTGATAGCTTCCCTGGCACTTTTCAGAGCCGACTTTACTTCTTTGTTTGACATTGTCTATGAGAAATAAAAAATGAAATATTACAATACAATAAAGTAATCCGTTATAGTTTCAAAACGTTAGCCTGCTAGCTAACTTCATTTAACGTTACTGGCTGCAAGCAACCAGAAAGCTAGCTAGGAAAACAGCAAGCAACTAATATAAACGCGCACCTCAATAATGTAACGGAGCTCAGAGCACAACCTTTTTATACAAGACCAAAAAAAACTACCCCAAAAAGCAATAGTTCATATAATGACAGTCAAACTACAACTGAAATACGCAGTCCGATTCATCCTGTGCTTTTCTCTGAACTGCGCATGCGCCCAACAACAACTTCAGTAGCATTCAGTGACGAATTGTAGAAGGCAAAGAGATACTTTTGAGCTGCTAGTATTTAAAAAAAAAATAAATATATAGATATTTTAAACAGCAATATTGTGCAGTCTCACTGTTACTTACAGAGGGCTTTTATTTAGAGCTGAAATTCAGCCCTGTTGCAATCTCAAAGAAACTTGACTGGAAGGCGTTTCTAAGAGGAGTTCAGCCAATAGTCTGCAAGCATGTCAAGCAACTAACCAATCAGAACACGTGTACGTCGTAGCTTGGGTTTGTGTGCGGTACTATGTTCTCCATGTGAGAGTTTGCAGTGTGTTGCTGTGGTTTGTACTGGCTGGAGAAATAGTTCCATATATTTATGTTTTCATTCTTCTGTCTTGAAACCGTTTGCATTTTAAGATGAAGAGGAAACACTTAACATCAGCTGAGGACCTGGAAAATGAGGTTTGCCTTTTATTTGTGAATCTAGGTTGCGCAGATCATGTAGCTACTGTGGTTAAGTCAGCGAGCTGCAGTTACAGCAACCAGCGTGCTTTTATTCTCGTAATATAGTCATGATATGTATATACGGTAATGATAATAAACCCGATCCGTGGCATATAATATAATCAACTTATACCATGGATTCTTAGATTGTGATTTGTCCACTTCTTGTTCATGACGGTAACCTACATCATTTGTAAGCTTACAAAAATGACTGATGCTGACATGTCCGTGTACTGTAACAGGTGGAAGTGTTAAACGAAGAAGATGAAAGTACAAAGGATCCCAAAGGCATAAAGAAGAAAGCGGAGACGGTCAATGAGGATGGTGTCCTTCGACCACTTAAGCTTTCCAAAGGAGAGCTGTACAAAGCCCCTACAGTTGAGGAGCTCAACCAGCTGAAGGAGGCAGAGAGTCTGTTCCACTGTAGTCTGCTGAAAATGCAGGTCAGTAGAGCTTTCAGGTAGTTGCCCATCATAGACATGTCTTACTGTACTTTTGTGGCCATGCATGTGACAGTCATCTAAAGATCCATACTGAATATCAATGATCTGTAAACTTGTTGTGTGACTGGTTCGTATGGTTGCTCTGCAGATGGAGGAGCTGCTGAAGGAGGTGGCATTGAGTGAGCGCAGGAAGAAGCTGGTGGACTCCTTTGTGCAGCAGATTACAGATGTCCTGCAGTCCGTACCAGAAACTCCAACAGTGGAGGTTAGTAGACATCCAAGAGAACTGTCATCTGACCTGGCCTAAACTTGGGCTATTTAAATGATTTGAATATTTTGATCCTTTATCCTGTCATTTTTGTGCTTCTCTGAAAAAAGTCCATTCTGACTTTCTTCTAGTTGACTGACCTGTCATGGTTGGTGGATTCAGGCATTGATGTCCCATTCATCCTGGTTCCTGAGGCAACTAAGGGCAAGTTCCACATGGAGCCTCCTACTTCTGTTGACCTGATTGGGAGTTATCCACTGGGCACCTGCATTAAACCAAAAGTTTCTGTTGACCTAGCTGTCACAATTCCTCATGTAAGATTCAACTGCAAGCCAAGTGTGGCAGCTGCCATCTGTGTACACTAAATATACACACTGTGTTGTCATTTTTTAATATGGGGCTGGTTTTGCTAATCAGAACATATAGGTACACAATCTACTCTTGAATGTATGATTACTTGTTTTTTCCTCGTAGTCTATCCTACATCCAATGGATGGCATAAATCAGAGATACTCTCGTAAGAGGGCTCTGTACCTGGCAGGTCTGGCAAAGCACCTCTCCTGCTCATCAGCAGTGGGCACGCTGCACTATTCATGTCTCCATGGCAACCGGCTCCGTCCACTCTTGCTTGTCACCCCTCCAGGTATGATGTTTTCTTCTTGTATTACCAATGTGAGTTTAAGAAATCTGATTCCAACCATGGTCCTGGTGATCTGCTCGCTCTTCTGAGTTTAGTTTCCAGATCTAATCTAACACACTTGGTAAACCTGATCAAAGAGGCCAGGAACATGCCAGAGAGCCTTGCTCATAAACATCACTGGTGTATCTCTAACTCTAAGGTTTCAGGTTTGTGTTATTAAAACTTACAGCCTATGAAAGGTATTTCACCGGAATGGACACAATCAGATTTGCCCCATTACAGACGATGTGATGTATAAAGGCATCAATGGTCACTTCTGCACAATTTTTCTATGGCAAAAACTGTAAAATCAAAAGTGTCACAGAAACATTGCACTTTTCTGGCTATGCTGTACTGCTGTTGCATAGTAGCACCAAAAAGCAATTTTTAGCTTTTAGCTTTTCTCAGGGACAATTTGCTAGGACTTGTGCAGAGAAATCTGGTTACTGGAGTTTTGACTACGGTTTATGTTCACACTTAACCTCTTCCTGTTTAATTATCATTAAATCATATTGTAAAAGTGCACGTGTGATATGCAGACCAAACTTTCTGAGTAAGTGGATCTCCAGGAGTGGGGTTGGGCAGGCCTGCTTCAGGCCAGTATGTTCAGATTTGCAGTGGGCGATATCCCAGTACTTTAAGACATTTTCACAATACACATTATGCATCATGATATTTAGTTTTTTTTTGAAGTTTGAATAAGTTGGAACAGATAAAAAAAAAATGAATAGCTTGATACTACTTTGTATTCAGTGTTTCACATACTGCACTGCACTAGATCCCATTAAACATGGTTAATTATGCTCTGTTTGGTCAGGGTTTTGTTTAAGTATGGATGATATCCACAATAAGTTCTGAAAAGCATATTGTTAGATTATATGTTGTAATTATCACAATAATAATGTGTATTGTGTAGTTCAGATTGTGTGCTGCTTTGACCCTTGCAGGTAAAGACAGCAACATCACATTGCGAATCCATGCCCTTCCCCCTCCGAATTTCCTCAAACCCAGCCGCCTCCATCCTCAAAAGAACAACATCCGGACACAGTGGTTTACTGGCAATGACTCTCAACAAGGTAATAGAGAGTTTTAAGCATTTTCCTCTTGAGACTTTTACTCCTAGCCTACTAACTTTGATATTGCATTTGGCTGTGTTTGTTTTTTCTTTAGAAGTCAGCAGTGAGCCTCCCACTCCTCATTTTAACAGCACAGTACTGGGGGATCATCTTCCCCGCTCACACCTGCAGTTCCTCACTGCACACAGCGCACAGTGCCCTGCTTTTGGCGATGCTGTGGCTCTGCTCAAAGTGTGGCTGAGGCAGAGGGAGCTAGACCAGGTAAGAAAAGTCAAATGCTATGTATAGAATAATGTGTTCATCTTCAAATCCTTTTCTCCATTAAAACTTGTCTTGTGTGTTTCCATAGGGGACTGGGTGCTTTGGTGGATTCCTAGCTGCCATGCTAATGGCTTATCTTCTCTCCACACACAAAGTTGGCAAAACTATGAACGCTTACCAGCTGTTGAGAAAGGCACTGCACTTCTTAGGTGAGGGCATGCTCCCTATGTGTGCAAAGGGATGTGACCCATTTTTGTTGTCTATATAGCTTTGTGACAGTAGAATCCTAGATTTGTATCATTGCAGGCTTTTCTACCGGGCAGTATGGTACAGCATGGTGTGGTTACTAATCCAAATCCAGGGCTATCCTCTGATCGAGTACCTGATTCCTATCACACAACATGAAAAGTAGACAGAGTTCTCTGTAGTTTGTGTGGTGGTCACATGATTTCTCACAATACTGGTGCATTTTTACTCAGCATTTTAAAGGGTCATGGATAGTGATTTTAGAAATGGCGGTCATCTGAATGATGATGCGTGACAATTGCGCTTGACCACTCAATGGCCTGCCTTATTTCTAGCTCCACCATATGTTCCAGTTCGAGCCATTTTGTACCACGGCAAGGGTAATTCAGCATGGGTGCTCGGGTACAGTCCTCTTGAGTTGGCGGGGGTAATTGTGACAAAGTGTGTGACCATGGATTGTTACTGCACCTCACTGTTCCGTGGAAAAACACCATGAAACACTAAGTACAACAAATTCAGTCTTCATGAAACCTTGCTGTATATTTTCTCCTTAGCTTCCACAGACCTGACTGAGAATGGTATTACCTTGGCTAAAAACCCAGATTCAAAAGCGGTGAGCAGTAATGTAACTACAGTTTTAGTTATTAGGTTAATCTTTTCTTTCTTCATACTGTGACATGACTCTCTTTCTTCTTTCTTTTTAGCCTTCACTGCCTGAATTCCACAGTGCTTTCCAGGTGGTGTTTGTCGACCCCTCTGGGCACCTCAACATGTGTGCAGACATGACATCCTGCACCTACAAACAGGTCAGAATTATTGTTAAGTTTTCCGAATTCCATGGCTCTAAAGCAGGGGTATCAAACTGGGTTCCATCTGGGCCACAGATCTGCACAGATTGGCATTTTCTGTTGTTCCAGGTCACACAAATTAGCTAATGAGTTGATTCAGGAGTGCTTAATGAGAAAGAACACTAAACACTGCAGACCTGTGGTCTGGTAGAGAGTTCCTAAATCTTAAATCTCTCAGCTGAATTGCCTTAAACTTTGTGTTCACCAGAAGATTTTGTTTGTTTGCATGTGCACCAGATACTTTATTGTACTTATAAGAAAGTGTGCTGACGTAGTACTAAAAAGTCTTCTGCAAACACAGACTTATGGTAAGCACACAAAAAGCTTTAGGAATTACATTTTCAGTCCTTTTAGGGATTCAGTAAGGACCAGTTCCTTGGCATAGGTTTTCCAGAAACATTTCATACCACATAAGACTATTCATTTGAACACAAGGCTCAATTTAGCATGATGCTCTTAAAAAGCTTGCCATTTATTGATAATTTAGGTAGAATGATTTTAAAAAAAGGTGACAAACCGTGGCACTCTTCATTAAATAAAAGCCTTTATTCTAATGTGTTTATTTCCCTACCAGCAGCACTCTCTTTTTAATTTTGTTGAAATTTTTTAATGCTGAAACATTCTGATTGGTCCACAGATCCAGCATGAGGCATCGCTGTCTCTCCAGTTCTGGGATGATCCCACACTAGATGGCTTCCAAGCTCTGCTCATGACTCCTAAACCGATGATCAGAACATATGACAATGTCTATCAGTAAGTGTCCCACCAAGTTTTATGTTATATTTATCACATTCAAGGAGCTATACATTAGGGATGTGCAGGGCTACTCAAGTGCTCGTTTATTTGAGGTGCCAGTATCTGAATACTAAAACCACTGTTTGGGGATTTGTTGTGTTTGATTATGAGACGATGGGAAAAAATATACCAGCTAACAATTTAATAAAATGCTACTGCAAAACACAAGTGCCTTAGCATGAACGTGTTGTTAAGGATGTAACTGAAAAGGTGGAGGCAGCTTTCTCTCTAACTAGGCAAACTGCTTTAGCTCTTGTTAGTTAGATCAAGAAACAATGAAAAGATTTGTCTCTTACAAACGTACATGTTGGCTCATCGTCCACTGAGGAGAAAAGACATGCGTAGTAGACGACTAGTCCTCATCATACGCCTTAAGTTTGAACTTTCATGATTGTAGTTACAATATTCAAACTGTTTCTAAACAAAGCTTGTCTTTCTCTCAGACTGAGTGACTTGGTGAAAATGCAAGCCTCCTGTAAGAAGCTCAGTCTCCTCGGCAGTTTCATGGACCATAGTGGAAACTATGTTCTGGCGGCGCTCCCTTTCATCCTGTCTCTTCTGCAACGAGGACTTGGGGATAGGATTCGGCTTCTGACTCACTCACTTCCTCCAGACCCTGTGGTAAGTTAATGATGAATATTGTGAAATGTCTTTTTTTTTTTTTATAGAAATAATTCATATTGTTCCAATATCATATAAATTTATATACTGTAAGTAGCTGTTCTTTTTTGGAAACTTTCTCCTGTGGTTTCTCTGTAGTGGAATAACTTCAGTCTCTGTGATTGATTTGAATAGTGGCCAGTGAATAAAGAGCCTCCTAAGCACAAGGACCAGCCGCCTCTGTCCATTGGTCTTCTGCTGAATCATGAACGTGCCCTTTCTGTGCTGGAAAGAGGACCTCCAGCAGACAGCCCTGAGGTAAAACTGCTAGTTAAAAATTTTGTGCTATTTGGACAAGATTAGTTTTATATGGAAAGGTGAGGTAAAGTACTTATTGCTAGAGTATATCTGTAAATTTAGTCATGTCCAAAACAATCAGAAACTATGGAGCTATGACCAAGGAAAGTCTGATCGTGTAAAAATGTATGGGAACGTAGTGCTCGAAGCCCCCTTTCAGACGCCATCAAAAATCCTGTGTACTCCTCAGGAGTCCAGAGTCAGAGGTTGGCTGCAAACTCCTTAGATGACAGCAACCAAGTTTAGTAAATGAATCGGATAAGAGGAATTATGATAAACAATAGTACATTTTCTACTTGTGAGCAGTGGAAGCCACATATTATAACAATTCATAAATCGAATGACACTCCCTTCACTGTGATTGGCAGATGGAAAAGTTCAGTAGCATGAAGGAAAAACGTGCAAAGAAGTTTGTGAGACAAATTACACTCAGACTCATTCAAACATTACAGACAGCTGTCTTAACATTACAGACATAGGTGTATGCAAAAGTTTGGGTACCCATGGTCAAATTGTTTTGTTGATCTTGTAGGTGAAAATAAGTTAACAAATCCTCTATTGCGAACGTACTTCTTTTACTGCATAATTACTGTTTATTTGCTAAATTTAACAAAAAAATACACAAAATGTAATCTGTACAAAATGCATGGCACATTTAATATTTTGTTTAATTTTTTTCAATTATGTTAAACTTAGCAAATTTTTTTTGTAAAGTTGTGAATTAAGATTTGCAGAAAAGTACCATATTTAAATTTTCTGTAGAGGATGTGCTTACTTATTTTCACTGAGAAAATCAACAATAATTTGACAAGGGATGTTCAAACTTGCATATGTTGGTATAACACAAAGTATCCAGTTTGAATAGCAGTATTGCTTCTGCAGTGGTTAAACTATGTTAGTGCTATTCTACAGGCAGCTGAGTTCCAGCAGCTGTGGGGCAGCCGTTCTGAGCTGCGACGTTTTCAGGACGGAGCAATCACTGAAGCGGTGCTGTGGTCCGGCACCTCCACCTGCCAGAAGAGACACATCCTGCTGGAGATCATTGCACACCTTCTGGAACTGTAGGCGCACATCACCATAAGTGCAATAGAAGCAGTTTTGTATGACATGCATTATACGTCATGTTTTATTCTCGTTCTCTCTCTTTAGTCATGCTGATATACCCGAATCATGTGTCCGGTTTGTGGGAGGACAGGTGGATGATGTTATCAAATTTGGAAAAGAAGTATGTATTAGTGAAATGTGTAAATCATATGTACTTTTGCATTTTAACTATGTATAACACTGTGTGTAGCCAGTAAAAGACACCTTAAAAATCTGTTCTAATCTTGCTGTTGATCAGGTAAGCAGTACTGGAGAGGAAGAGAGCCTAAAGGTGGTCCACTCTTTTGATGACCTGAGCAGAAAGCTGTGGCAGCTGGAAGGTTTACCTCTCTCCATCACTTCAGTGCAGGGTGCCCACCCAGCCCTCAGATACACACAGGTTAACTTTATCATGATCTGCTGTTATAAGGTTAGTCATTGCTGCCTCTGCTTCTTTTGTAAAATGTCTGTTCTTCCTCTGTAGGTGTTCCCACCTTTACCAGCAAAGCCGGCCCATTTCTTTTTTAAGACGAAAGAAAAGAATTTCCACGCTTTGCTTCCACCAGAGGGGAAGCCTTGTCCTTACTATATCACTCCTATTAAAGGTAATCCAGGGCTATTCCTGCCCAGATTTCAACACGTTACTTGTTCTGTACTCTGCTTTAAAAGCCACCAGGAGCATTGTTTAGTGCACAGTATTACAAGAAAAAAGAGCGTTGGTTGTTGGTGTATAGTTGTACACTGACCGGCCACTTCATGAGGTACACCTCCTTGTAGCTACACCCTTTGTATATTTTACCAGGTTCGTCTACCATATAGGTGTACTTTGTAGTTCTACAATTACAGTTTGTAGAATTACCACTGATGAGGGACTAGAGGATGACCAACACAAACTGTGCAGCAACAGATGAGCTATTGTCTCTGACTTCGTCTGTACATCTACAAGGAGTCTACTATAGTGGACAGTGAGTGGGCACAGTGTTTAAAAACTCCTGCAGGACTGGTGGGTCTGATCCACTCGTACCAGTGGAACACACACTAACACGCCACCACCACATCAGTGTCACTGCTGTGCTGAGAATGATCCACCACCCAAATAATACCTGCTCTGTGGTGGTTTTGGGGGGGGGTTCCTGACCAGAGTAAAAGGGGGCTAAAAAATTATGCAGAGAAACAGATGGACTACAGTCTGTAATTGTAGAACTACAAAGTGCGTCTATATGATAAATGGACCTAATAAAATGGAGAAAGAGTGTGGATACAAGGATAGATACTGAAATACTGTAGATAAAGTTAATATGTATGCATTGACCTGGAGGTAGTGATTCAACTGCATCAGTTTTTGGAATGTTAGTGTCTATTACGTGAATGAACTATTTTTTTTTAGCTACAGTAAAATTCTCTGCGTTTTTTCAAACATAAGATAGAAAAAGGCATGTTGTGTTGTTTTTCTCTGTCTTTTGGTTTACTATTGCTCTTTTGTTTTCCCATTTGTCCTCAGTTATTTGTCACATGGAGGGCAGTGGAAAGTGGCCTAATGACCGTTTGGCAATCCGCCATATTAAAGCAGCCTTCCACATCCGCCTCGGAGAGCTGCTCAAACAGCAGCATGCCTACACGTACCGGCCCACGCCTACACATCTGGATGTATGGAAGGTAATGCATTTATTTTTATTGACACATACTTTGTTATGGGTTTATAAACCAGCTTTTTTTTTATTGTCGTTCAAACAGTGCACTGAATAGTGCGAAGGTGTAGTAAAGATTAGTAAAGATTTCGTAGCATTTCACAAAATAGCTCATCTCTCAACTGAGAGATGTAACTCTTTTTGTAGAGAGATATGCCAGTATGCAAAAGTATTGAACCTGAGTTTTTTGGTTTTTGATTTGCTGTCTTATGTGTGTCCAGGATGGACTGGCATTTCGGATACAGGTAGCATACCACAGAGAGCCGCAGGTGCTGAGAGAAAGTGTGACCACAGAAGGTATGCTGATTCAGCGAGACAACTTGGAGGCACAGGCACTGGAACTCGAGACCCAGCACATACCCTTCCTCACCAGCACCCTGCATGGGTATGACAACACAGACATGCATGCTTCTGAGCAGAGCTATATGTGGAAATACTTCAATTGAAAGGTTGAGAAATTTGTGCAGTGGAAGTTGTGACTCTGTAAGTTAGCCAGTAGTATGTTTAATTCCATATGCCTAAAACGCAAAGATGAATGAATACATCAACTAAACAATCAGGTCTCCTAGGCTAACTGCATGCAGTATATGTATGGTAAACTTTCCATGTTTTCATTTTTTGTAGCAATATTAAATATTCCCTCATTGGGATATTTGATCACTATTTGTTAAAAATACTGATTTCAAAAATTCAAATATAATAATGTAATACCTTAAAACCTCATGTTGATGCTACTTTCCACTGGTCTCAGTTTTATCAAGGAAGCATGAGTTTTCCACATGAATGCCCTTCAAAGTTGGATAATGAATTCAAGTACGTCAAAATTTTCGATACAGCAAAAGTATGCAGAGTTGAGGAAATGATGGAGGAAAGAAAGGAAAGTCAAACAGCGGATAACAGTCAGATAAACTGCATAAATATAATTAATGGTAGAATATGTTTATAATCTATAATAAAATAATAGTAAAGCATTGCATTTGATTTGGGCACATCGATTGCAGAATGCATTGTTGGCCAGGCATCAGCGACCTGATTGGTGAAATTCAAACTGACAAACTATCCAATCTTAAAGACACAGATATGACGGAAGATCTGTTATTGTTGCTGTGATGTCGTGGCAAATATGAGAATAAGAGAGCACTTACATCCCTGCAAAATTTGACCAATAGACACTCACATTTTATAATTTGGTCCACTTTACTGGTTGCAGTGTGAAACCAAAAGAAAAAGATACAGTGTCACAAAAACCCAAACTCTTGTGCAGACTTCGGCAAACAAAAGTGTGAAAACAGTCTTAGTGTCTACTTGAACTACAATGCAAACATCGCTCTTATCCAAATTGACTTACAGTTATGTTATAGAGGTAAGCAAATGTAACGTTAGGAGTCTTGCCCAAGGACTCTTATTGGCAAAGTGTGGCGTGCTTTGCCAAAGTGGGGAAACAAACCCCATTCTGCTATGTGGAGGACAGTCATGCGGTCCATTCCTAACTGATCAGCTATTCTTAATCATTATGTAAACCAACTAGCTGAGTTATTGTTTAAGTTATAAAACAGCATAATAGTAGAGGATAGGGTAGGATAGGGTTCTGGCCATTCAACGGTTTACATGTCCATCTGTAGCTTCTGTATCCCCTGATGGGAAATATGTTTCTCAGTCTCCAGCAGCAGCACCCGTGCTTCGGTGCAGTGTGTCGTCTGGCTAAACGCTGGCTGGGTGCACAGCTCTTCGGTGGACATATAGGAGAAGATGCAGCTGACCTTTTAGTGGCTTTCCTTTTCCTTCAACCAGCTCCCTTCACACCTCCCAGGTAATAGATTTTCGGTGAACGTTCTAGTAGTTGTCATTGCTGGTTATGTACCAAAATAAAAACTCTCATTTTGGACTGAAAACCAAAAAAATGGCTTTGATGACTATTGCATGAATTCTATATTTTTTTCTTTTTATATGTATTTCAATGAAATATAATTGCAAAAAACGCTTCAAATGCTTCAAAACAGGGCTGAGAACAAAATTAAACGGTGTTGCCTTCTCATTAGTACTAAAATTATTTGTGAATTGTTATACTTGGACACTTCAGTGTAGGCTTATATAAAAATATGTAAATTGGAATCAGCATGACTTTTTTTGATCAAAATCTTCACTTTCATTCCGTCAGCTGAAAACATGTAGTTTTCATTGGCTGATGTTTCGTTGCATCATGCTTTGGTCAGTAGCATGGGATGTTCCTGTTTAGACTGGTGGCATCATTGTTCTCCTTACCTTCAGTTCTCCTCAGGTTGGTCTGCTTCGCTTCCTCCACCTGCTCTCCTCTTTTGACTGGAGGAACAGTCCTCTAGTGGTCAACCTCAGTGGCAAACTCACAGGTCAGCAATGTTTTAAATGCTACTTGCTTATTTCTGTTGTGTTCTGGGTTTCATGTTGTAAAATAAGTGTGTTCCCTCTTTTTGTAGCTGCTGACTACACCGAAATTAAGAACCACTTTATGGCATCAAGGGAATCACTTCCTGTTATGTTTATTGCCACCCCCAACGACAAGAAGGTCTCCATTTGGACCAAGGAGGGACCCTCAGTACAGGTTAGTGAACAAAACATGTACTAAGTAATCTAATAGAGACCTCTGATGTTGGATGACTTGAATTTATGCTGCTACTTCCTTTTAGGTGCTTCAACGTATTGTGACAGTTGCAGCAGAGAGTCTGCGTGTCCTGGAGGCCCAGCTCATCAACCCCCACCAAAAACAAGATGTTCGGGTCAGTGCTTTTACCACTAAAGTTAAAACAGATCAGATTCAGAGCTTATATTAAGAATGAAGGGTGTAGAAATGGATCTGAAGGTGGCAATTCACCTGTGTCAATTTTGCAATCTTTGAATTGATAAGAAATAATATTCAATAAAATAGTTGCTACTTTTTTGACCAAAATAAAATTTTCTGGCTCTTTTCGTGTAAAAATGTAAGTTCAAAATTGTTTGAATTTTTTTTGTTGTTGTTTTGTTAATTCTTCAGGTGGTGTTCAGACCCCCTTTGGACGCCTATGATGTTCTCATCCACCTCAGATCCAAACAGGTACCCCTTTCAGCCAGAGCTGTGGACCCCACTTCTGCCACTGTCCCACGGGGCACCATGGATGGGGAAGTACGCAGCTCAGGAGGGCCATTCCCTGTTGTGGACTTCGATCCTGTTAGGCTGTATCTGTCTGAGCTCAGGGTGGGTTTCGCCATCATCCACAATATTACATAGTGGCAATATCCAACTCTAAGCAAATATTATTAATCATTCTCTGGATCATTTGAAATAGATGCCTGAAAGTGTGACTAGTGTTAGGGCTAATTGAATATTTTATTCTGTGAACTATTCTGTTCTATAAATGGTGCTTGTGCAGTGAGCAATTTTGTGTAGTGCAACAGTACTAAAATACAGTGTTATGTAATGTAGTGTATTGCAATCTGACGGAAGCACCGCAAACATCAATAAGCATTGTAGAGCAATTTTGTTTTGTTTTTAAAAGGCTCATATCATAAAACAAAATGTTCCTTTTCTTTTAAATAAGTAACTGTTTAGATTGAAATAAATTTGATTATTAGTTTGATAGTTTTCACATTATGATATTAGAATATCTGCCCTTTAATTAAAAAACACTGTGACTTTTACTATAATCAGTCCATGATTGACTCTGTTGACCTGTCATCGCAATATTTTCTCAGGATACGTTTGGGGATCTGGCCCTGTTTTTCTACGACCCATATGGAGGAACTGTAATCGCAGTTCTGTGGAAGCCTAAAGCTTTTCAGCCACAGCCCTTCAAGGTTTGTTAAACATGATCTTCTCTCTTTTGCCTGATTGCAACAACGTAGTTAGTCATGCTGACTTGGTCTCATCTCTGTCTTCCTTTAGACATCTCTGATGAATGCTAGGAAAGTGAAGGTAGCCAAAGACGTGGCCACTACCGTTCCTAATGTCGAGGCCATCGTGCAGGATTTCCAGATCATTGGGGAGGGCCTGGTCCACAAAGTGGAACTAAGGACTGAAAAATGGGTCGTCTGAGCGCAACCTGTATATTCTGTGCCAAGGATTATAATTTTTTTTTTATTTGTTTTCAAAGTGTATTTCATTTTATGTATTTTTTTTTCCAAGCAATTTCTTGAACAAATGAGAAGTGCTTTAAAAAGTGTGGAATGTTTTTATGAAAAAAAAAGATCAGTTAATAATTATAATAAGATGATCATTGCATATGGCTTATTTTGTTGCTTCTCATTTTAAAATGATAATTATTCACGGTGGTGGTGATAGGAACCAGATGTCTGAAGAATTTAATTCCTCTAAAAGCTGCCTCACAGAAGGCTATTCCAAAGAATTGTTATATCTATGTTGTCTCATGCCTGAGATATTGTTTTACAGTAGTTTTGTGACAACATTTGGCTTTAAACTTCGTTCATGCCAGAGAGGTACATGCAGAGCGTTGTATGGAAAAACAGTTCCCAAAGAAAACGTGTTTTTTCAGATTTAACCCGATTTTAGTATGAACTTTACAGATAAAAGCTCAGAAGATGTGTAGGTTCACTGGTATTTTGGATAGTAAATAAAATGGCTATATATGCACTGTTGACATTAAAAAGAAATTCCTGCGCCGGGAACCAGGAATTTTATGTCTAAAATGCAAATATAGACGTTTTATTTCCTATCCAGTACAACCAGTGAACCTGCACACCTTCTGAGTTTTTATATGTAATGTTGACTGTAGTGGTAAATATTGAAGAACTTTTCGCAAGTCGCTGCCTGTATCTCTGTGCCTTGAGTGAATTTGACAAAATGTTTTAAGCTAGAACCTTATCTCAGAATTGTTAAAGGGGAGTTCCAGTTCAGTGGTTGAGATATCACTTTCTGTGAGGGAGCCTTTGGAGATGGACGTCTGGTTCCTGTCACCACCACTGTGAACAACTCTGGCTCTGCGAGTTTCTCTAGGACAAGGCATTTCACACCAAACCACTCTCTCAATGATTTTGTTGACATGTTTGTCATTTAATTTTGAAATTTTGAAAAATCTGTGGAGTTCCCCTTTAAAACAATGTCTCAGGGGTCAGGCAATCATAATTTTGTATTATAACTTTCTGTGAGGGAGCCTTTTAAACATCAGGGCCCTATTTTGTTTTCAAATTAAGTTTGTCTAGAATGGACCACTGTATGTCAAACCACAAACAAATATCATATATAATAATAATTATATATTTAGATCTCTGGTTTGAATTAGAGAGAAATGTAGAAAAATCTGGGTGATTTCCTTTAAGAACCAGCAGGAGGCGCACTGGTGAATAAGTGATAATGCCACTAGATGGCGATAGATTCTTTATGTGTTTATTAACGACTGAAAAAGGCAAAGAAACAAGGCGGACACAGATCTCTTGGTTATGGAAGAAACTTTTAGAAAAAGTGTTCCGCTTGGAATTCATTCCAAACACTCTGACAGCTGGATAGCCGAGCAGCAGGCTTCACTCTCCGAAAGCAATGAGAAGTGAAAGGCGCTCTTTAACCTGCAGGAAACGTAGTTAGCTATTCTGTTGGTAAAGCTCACTAACACAGCAGAAATGACAGCTATGTTGCTAAAGATGCTAATTTAGTTCAGTCTTGGATGTGATCCCGCAGTCCTAGGAGGACAAGAGCATCACTTCGGATAAAAGTTGGTCCTGAAGTGAAAGCCTGCACTACCATGAAGCCCGTCTTGCTTCTCCTTCAGGTTGTCCAGCTCCTGGTGGTCTTTTCATATATAAGCAGCGCATCACCTCACCCCCCAAACATAGTGGTGGTGATGTCTGATGCATTTGTAAGTGTTTTTGTGTGATGATTTGTTCTGTGTGGGTAACATTAGCCTAAGCTCTTATTTCAAAGCTGTTACTTCAATAAACCAGTTAACCTACTTAGGTAACGCTACTTCTCCAAAACTCAGGTACAAAAGTATCAGTAGCCACTTGAATGGAAGTGTTTAAGTGAAAGGCTTAAAAGGGAACTCCACCAAGTTCTCAAAATTTTTGCGGAATTAAATGGTGAACATGTCAACAAAGTAATTCAGTGGTTTGATATGAAATGCTTTGTTCTAGAGGAGCTTACAGAGTCACAATTGTTCACAGTGGTGGTGATAGGAACCAGACATCCACCTATGAAAGCTCGCTTACAGAAATTGCAAGAAATGGTTGTGAATATACTGCCTGATGTCTGAGACATTGTTTTACAGTAGTTATGTGATAAGAGTTGGTCTAAACCGCATTGTAATCAATCTATTTGAATCCATCTATGGTGAAGGGATATATACAGGGTGTTCTTTAGCAAAATAGTCCCCAAAGAAAACTTGTTTTTTCAGATGGAATGACTGTTTATACCTCAACACCTGAATTATACCTACATTTAAAAAAATAGGTGGAATTCCCCTTTAAGGGATAAAATGAAAACTGCAAATATTAATGTTGATGTTAATTTTGCAACTGTCAAAATCTTGAGTGCTGAAACATAAAGTTAGGGCTTAACACTTAATTCTGGATTTTTTTTTCCACTTTCCACTTAAAAAGCAGCTCACAGAAAATAAAGGGAAAACTTAAGGCTGAAATTCACTGAAGATGTTTTATGACAACTGGTCAAAAACTGCTACTGAGTTCAACATAGAACTTCAGTGGAACATTTTAGTACATCCAACATCTATCAGCATTGAAACGTAAGGTTTTTTGGCATTGTTCTGCTCTTTTGTGGGATCATTTCAGTCTAAGTCAATATGCTAAGCCTCAAAAGTGTGATCAATAAACAGATCAGTGCAGACATTGTCACCAATGTCAACAAATCACCAAAATGTATTACAAAGAAATCAAATGCAAAAAAAGATCAGTAACTAAATGTTAATTAAAGTATACCACCAAAAATAAATATGAAATTCTGAAGAATACTGAAATAAACAGTAGATTACTTTCCTTGCAAGTACACAAGAGTATATAAAAGTGAAAGTATCCAGGAATCCATCATTTTTATACACGTAACTGAGTAAATGTAACTAGCCGCTGCTCATCTCTCCAGCAGAGTTAGTCTGAATGACTTCATTTCCTGTATGAGCTGAACATTTGCATAGTATTTTCATTCATTGAGTTTATTTATATCCGCTGTAGGATGGGAGATTAACCTTTGCTCCAGGGAATAAAGTTGTCCAACTACCTTTCATTAACTACATCAGGCAGATGGGTGCTGTCTTTCTCAACTCGTACACCAACTCTCCTATATGCTGTCCTTCAAGAGCAGGTACAGTTCAGCAAACGTTTGGAAGCACACCTACACCAGCTGGTTTCTCAGTCATTGAAGAAGCGTAACCTCGGACTAACTGGGAATATCAATGGCGATTAACTTATACAAAATCTTGGAAACTGGGTAAAGTGCTAAAATTCATATTCTAATTGTGACTAAAGTTGTGTTCTAGCTAAAGATAGAGAGGTTTGTCTCTGAGTAACAGCGCAACACTACATTAATCTTAGTGCAGTGTATTTCCAGCCATGTGGAGCGGCCGTTTTGTCCACTTAACTGAGGCCTGGAACAATTACAAATGTCTTGCTCCCAATGCCACAACATGGATGGACCATCTAGAAAAGGCTGGATACCACACCCACAGCATGGGGAAGTTAGACTACACATCTGGAGGCCACTCTGTTAGGTGACTGGAATAAATTTCATCACTCATAGTTAAGGCTGTAAATCTACAATAATAGATTGAAATAGTTCTGTAGGTCACATACTACAGCTCTGATCTTATTATGCCAAGACTCTTATTAGTCACGTAGATGGCTCTTCTGTTTACTGGAGCAAGATTAATTAATATTTTGATTGACTCATTTAAGTGTGAAAAGCATATTAACTTTGACATCACAATACTTGAAGGCATTTTCATGATATATGATTTGTATTTTAATATTTAGTTTTCTGAGGTTTGTAAACAAGCTGGAACAGACAAAATGACTTATTCAATAATAAAAATAAATAAGAACATGATATGGTACACATTTAGTCAGGTACTTTGCTGTTTGTTCTGGAATTGTATGCTTTTTGTTGTTGTTTACATGCTCTCTGTAATTGATCTTTCTAATACATGCAGTTAGAGATGGCGCAATACCACTTTTACAGTACAGCTATTAAAACCTTGAGTATCAGCTGATGCAGATCTGATAGTTTTCTTTAAAAACAACTTTTAAAATGTGCTATTTTTAATTGAAGCACTTAAGATGAGTATCTAAAAGCAGGCTATCATGCTCAATCTGCTTAATCACTCTACTTACCCACAGAAAGAAATACACATCTATCTACATCACATCACACAATGCTATTTTAGTATAGATTTGTTAGAGGATTTGATCAGATTCATTCTTTTTTTCCTTCCAATATCCAGTCCAGGTGTTTTCTGCTGATATCAGCCCTATACTGAAATCGTGGTATTCATGGTGTTCAGTGTTCAAGCAGAACTGACTAGACCTACAAAATGCTCAGAAAGTGGATTGTGATGTAACTTCTCATAATAACACACTGTCGTATTTCTCACTCCTAAATTCATTACATCCAGCAATCGTGTGGAGGCATGGACCAGAGAGGTGCCATTTCTCCTGAGGCAGGAGGGCCGTCCAGTGACGGACTTGGTCGGTGATGCTTCTACATTGAGGGTCATGTCCAAAGACTGGAACACCACAGACAGAGCTGTGCAGTGGATCAGGAAGAGTGCTACAGCTGTCTCGCAGCCGTTTGCCCTGTACCTGGGACTGAACCTACCTCACCCCTACCGCACAGAGGCCCTGGGCCCCACTGCTGGAGGCTCCACATTCCGCACCTCCCCCTATTGGCTCAAAAAGGCAGGTTTCTTCACACTGACAAGCTGGTCCAATGACAGCATTATGGAATAAAATATTTATTGCAAACTGAAAATTGTCAAAATGAAAGGACAAGAGCGGATGGTTATAGCACAGAGTAAAATACACTAATTGTTTAAACTCCAGTCCTGGAGGGCCAGACCCCTGCACAGTTTCCTACTCAAACACATCTGATTTAACTCAGCAGCTAATTGGTAGGTATTGTAGGTGTGTTAAGAGTAGGAAAATCACCAAAATGTACTGGAGCCAGCCTTCCAGGATTGCAGTTCGCAGTTTAGTTTAGGAGGTATATGGTCATATG